ACAGTGTCATTAAAGCAACAGACAACCAAATATTAAAAATCTAAAATGTTAAGATTCTACTTTTCGATCAAATTGTTATGCTGATAATATAATTTGCAATGAAAAACTTAGGATTAAATAAGAAAAGAATGCATAACAGAAGAATTTTCATGTGGGGTCCCAGCCTGTTGGGCCCCATTCTGAGTGATGAATATGAACATCTAATGAAGCTGACTGATAGAGAAGAGAAAGTAAGATGAGCAACCAGCCAAATCTGGTTTAACAGTGTAGATGAATGTGGTCTCACCATTTGACAAACAGCAGATCACTGTTGCCTTTTCTGTGTATATGTTATAACTGCTTATGAATTATTTGTAAGGTGTTTATGATAATTAATAACCATTTATGCACCTTTTATAAAGCAGTAGGTCTGATTCTCTAAGAAATGTATCCCGAAATATTGTTTGTAGCCCAAAATAGCCTAAGAATTATTTTGCTCATATCATAAGAGTATCACTTTATCTAACATTAACAGAAGAACAAAGAGTAGCTCTCTAAGTATTAATTATATTTGTTTAAAATCAGTCAGATTTTGCACATGCTTTCACTCATCTGTGAAAAGCCATAGAACAGCTTCAATAAAATATAGTTCACTATAAAGCTGAGTATCAGTATCAGCTGATGCTCAAGATTTCAGCATCTGTATCTGTTTTGAAAATGACAAAGTCATATCTTGTCATCTGTACTGTAAACAGGTCGGCCTGTTTAAATGTGCGCTTGCCGTCTGTGTTTATTACACATTAACTTACATCTCGCTGCTTATTATATGCCTGCGCCCTTTGATAGTTGATACATAAATCAATAAAGCTTATTAAAGCAATCCTCTCTAAGTCTAAAGGGAACGGACGTGTAATTAGGAGTTAGCCATTAGCATTGGAACAATAACACAGTCATTCAATTCAGCCCGCAGTCCTGTCAGCCTGCAAACTTCAGATTTATATTTCTTCTTAACTGCCATCTCTGTAATCTTCTGCTTAGCGATTAAGAGGAATTTCTTTGTTCAATAGGGAAAAGAAACCAAGCACTGGTAGCTGGCATCTTAGATTGATGTTGTTTAGGAATATATCCACTCAGTCTAGTCAAAGAAATTTTCTCTGACACACCTTGTTCTTTATTTATCTGGTAATACCAATAATAATAATAATCTAAAATGAACATAAACTAGCATGAATATTGTTTTTTCTTCTGAATTTAGTACAAAAAAATTTTGAAATAAGAAAGCTTTATTAAGCTTCACGCTCAATACTAGAAAAACTTTGCTTTTAAGTAATAAACAAAAATGTCTTTCAAACATTCTTAAATCAAAACTATAATGCTTAAGATACATTCCTGAAAACACCTCTCAAAATAAGGCCTGGAAACAAAACAAAGCAAAACAAAACAAAAGACAACAAAACATGTTTATGATAATAAACTACTTTACTAACTCCAAGGAGTTCGAAGACATTGACTAGTCCAGATGTGTATAAGATTAATCAGCTTGAAACGTTTCAAAACTCAATGCAATGAAAGAAGACAACTGTACTTATTTTAAGGATGATGTGTTTTGGAACGTTTTTAAGATTATAAATCTAGACGTTTTAGTCCTCCAAAAAATCTTATTTCATTTTAAGAAATATGTATAATTAGCTTGTTTGTCTAAATAAGACCATTGTAGAAGTTTCCAGCGGCTGATTAATCTCATAAGATAACCCTTTATTGGTCCCACAACAGAGAAGTTCACAAATGTCTCCTGGTAAGCTTTGGTAACTACCCTAGTCACCCGAACAGGGACTTGAACCCATGACCCTCAGGTTAAAAGGCTGAAGCGATATCTGTTGTTCATTTCAATATTTTCTGGCTTGTTCAAATTTCATTTTATGCATTGAAGTCCTGAGCGCCTACTTACCAAACAAACAGAATGTTTGGTCAGTGTACTCTGGACAGAAAAGGAACTGAACAAGTGAACAAATGAACAGAGTGAATGAGGAGAGAACATTCTAGATCATCCCAACGGTCACACACAGGTATACAACGTCCGCCAGAGAAATAATCGGTCAAAACACTCAACATACAGCAAAACATTTATTGAATGTCAACCACATGATTTCATATCACATTTTTGTTAAGACCATATTGTCTTCCTGACATCTCATGATGAACACAATGAATACCAAAAGAGTGAGTTCAGTATTCAGCCTGTGTTTGATGACTAATGCACATCCATAGTAAAAACACCAGCCTGCAAAACAGAGTAATTACTGTACTACTACCCTCTATCTACTGGCACCAAGAGCCAGTTTTGCTAATAAAGCACTAATAATTGACAGTCTACTGACACTTTGCGCTAGTGGGGGTGGCCAACTCAGCGGCTTATCTACTAATAATTTCCATGGAAATTAACACACAGGCACTACTTTGTAATTAACATATGACCAGCGTTATATAAACCCCTGTTAGGCTAATGTGCGTATTGTACAGAAGCTCATTTTCCAGCATTGTTTTCTCTGTTTCAGGTTCATATTGTAACTCATTAAATGAAAATTAAAGCATGTTGACATATTGATTTGACATTTAGGCTTAATAAGTCAAAATAGTTATTAACCCCTAAACGATCCAGGTGTATTTCATACAAAGGCTTATTATTCAGTTACTACAGGGACCGCTATGCAAACTAATGGGGCTATTCTGAAGTGTGTGGTAAAACGTTGGGCCCTTGGCTTGTTAAGGGCTTAAGTAAAAAAGGCTTTTACTCTTTGTGATTATTTTGGCACATCGATCAGTAATTATTTTACATGGTTTCCGAGTACATATGGAAACCATGTAATATTGTCGAACCCCTGTTTAATTCGACTGAACTGTATGATTTTGAACTTGTGGTGAGCACAAACCTCTCAACTGAGTGCAGTGCATCAAAAGCTGCAACAGTTCTGCAGCAGAAGCCACAGCATGCACAAAGTAACAAAGCGTAAATCTGCCTCTACATGTCCAACAGTTTGCAGACACCTAGTCATCTACTGTTTTCTAAAATCAAGGGTATTAATAGGGAGTTTGTTCCCATTCAGTGCAGTAACAGATTCTACAGGCTTTACATTAGATGTTAGAACATTGCTATGAGGATTTGATTGTTAGATGATTTCTTCTGGATCACTCCAACTCATCCCAAAGGTGTTGGATGGAACTACATCTCTCCAGAGAACGCAGTTCCACTGCACCATAGTTCAGTGCTGGTTCATATGGTGTGTGTAGAAGCTGAATATGCTGAGGTGCATCACTGAGGACAGTGCTTGAGAGCAAATCTTTATCATTTTATTCACATGCTGACACTCTACCTTTACCTATGCTTCATCAGAATGTTTAACTCTTTGTGTGGAGTGATTGATCCAGCCCAGTTAATGACTGGTGGAATATTGGGATTAAATAAATTCACAGAGAACTTTTAGCTGGGTTGCTTTTGTCATGTGAGGGCTTTGTGATAGCGCAGCTTATCTAGCCTAAACCTCTCAGAGAGGGTCATATCCGGACTGGTGAAAGTGAAGGGGGCAAGTTCAGCATTTTAGGATTTCTGTTCTATCAGTCTGGAATCAGTCTTACGGAGGAACAACAGAGAACTGGTAGGTTTTGATGCTACTTTGTTGCTAATGCTGTTCTATAGTAACCTTTAATGTTTCCCAGACCTTCCCAGACTTTCCCACAAAGGTAATTGAGGTGGTTTTGTCCTGGAGTTGAGTTTTTGGTGACTTTATTTTGAGTGGCCCTTTTAAGATGAAACAAACACTCAGCAGACTCTCAGTAACATGTCAAAAACATATGAGGGTTAAGGTTAGAGTTAGGATTAGGGCCAGAGTGAGGATTAGGGTAAAGTTAGGTTTTGCGTAATGGAAGTAAGTGGTATGTTGTTGATGTATTACTGATAATCTGTTTATAAAGAGTTTATTAATCATCTACAAAGAACCACTCCAAATAAAGTTTTACCAGTTTTTTTTTATTTATGCCTCTTGGTAATACAGGCTGTAAAGACTGGACTTTCACAGAAACCATATGTATGTAAACCATAATAATATAAAAAGTGGATTAAATGAACATCAGCAAAAACATTAATAAAATCGCTGTGATCTTAATATTAAACATAGAAAGTCATTTGTTTAACTAAAAAAAGCTAAAGTTAAATGCTGATTTTTTTCCCTCATAATAAGCTATAAAAACCTATTAATTACTCTTACTGCTAAATATAGTTGTAAAAAATTATCATTTTCATTCAGGAATCTTTTTCACCCAGGGCTTCAAAAGGTTTTTAAAATGAAAATATGGAAATCAGTGAAACTTTCTGCTTTTACCCACTTAAACTATTACCATTGTTGTAAATGTCTGTTTATATCTGAATATGAAAGCACATTTTGTGCCTCTTTAGAGTTTGTTTTTGCTTTGTTTCATTTTAGAATAGTAAATTAATAATGTAGAGCGTCTAAGCAGGGGTTTATTACCGCAGCGTTCCCACCTCCTAAGACAAATCTCTCTCTGTCTCATGGTCGGCGAGCTCCATCCTGTTATGTGTCTCTGTGTTTTCCTGCAGTGCTGTGTCCCTGTCATTTGTCTTGCGTGGCATCCTTGGCTAGCCTGAAGCCCCCGAAGCCGCGCCTTCATTTCTGCTCCCATTGTTTATATGCAAAGCCGCCTATTCAGTTATTAAAAAGAGCCTTCCTTACTAGAGCTGCAAGGTTCTAACCACATATATTTTTTGTGCCTTCAATGTATTATTGATTCAAATTCTGGACACAGAGCTTCTTGTAATATTAATGTTTTTTCCCTAGCTGTGTTACTCTCATCTCTCTAACAGTATGGACACCATAGTCTCAGTGGACCACGGCGATTCTTACAAAGCAATCATGTTTTGTGCTAAGAGTCCCCATCACATCAATCTTTTTTTGCATCACAGGTGCCCTTGCCTGGTGGGTGAGTTGTGTTTTGGTGTGTTCTTGCAGGGACACAGTGCCTAGCTGCACATCATGAAGTGGAACCTGTTCAAGAAGAAGCCTGAGGCCATGGTGGGCCCTGAGCCCACGGGCCCAGGGGGCACCCACCCACCCAGCACCATGACCATGGCTCCTGCCCCTGCCGTCTCCACCACGGCAGACAACTCCACCGAGTCTGGAGGATCTTCCATGGACGACATCTTCAATAACATCAGAAACAAGTTCCTCAACGAGATTGAGACGATCCCACGTGAGTCCAATCAGGATGGGCTTTTGCAGGGGTGGCTAAGACGTGAGGCTAAACTGAAGAAACTTAATGCTTTTATAAAACTTGATTCACATGCATACATCAATTTCACATGAAAAAGTACAGTTGTATGCAATAATTTGAACACCTCTTCCCTGGTCAGATTACATTTTTTGTTGATTTTCTAAATGAAAATAAGCCAAGACATTCTCTACAGGAGACTTAAATATGGCATTTTTGTGCACATGTTCTATTTATTTTCTGAGTTCAACATGTTGGAAGAAAATAACATATAACAAAAGATTTGCACAGATCATTTTATGTGTTATTTTTGATTTCCAATATGTTAAATTCAGCATATAAACCCGAATTGAACATTAAAATGTGCAGAAGTGTGTTCTCTGTAGAGGATGTGTAACATGTTTTCACTTAGAAAGTTAACCAAATGTATAATTTAACCAGGGGCACCCAATAAATTCTGTTCTTGTAGAAGCATTATTGTTAGGGGATTGTGAGTTTTATACCCAGCAATGCTACAGCCATCCATGTCTGGAGACCAAGAGAGCATAATTGATCTCGCTCTCTCTCTCCCACCATCTCTCGGTGTGATGCAGCCAACACAGGTGTCTTTTAGCTTATGTAACAGAATTGGCAGTTAGCGTTCTCCTCTAAGCGTGTTGAGTTGTCCAATGAGGTGGCATTAGTGGCAGTTCATAAAGACAGAGTCACGGAGGAAGCACATGCTAGTCTTTACACACCCAGCCTGATGAGAGGAGGCATATCACTAGCAGGTGAAATTGCCAGTGACTAAATTGGAGAGAAAAAAAAAACAAAACTGTATATATATATATAAAAAAAAATTCATTCTGCTATAAAGTTGCGATTTTGGAGGTTTGAGGGTTTCCTAGGACAGCAATGAAATAGTTCTTGCTCACTGGATCCAGAATGATGCTCTTTTGTTACGACTACTTAAAAAGAAAAAAAATAGTAGAAAACTCTAATGGATCTCCTACTGTACCCTGCACGTTGACTCACAATTTGACTAGGACTTGAAAATTTGGCCTGACGGAAAAAACAGTAAAAAAACAATTTTTTTAGGACCAACAAACTTAATGCAGTGAATGAATAAAACCTTAAATTTCCAATTTTATGTGCGTGACTGTCAGTTTTGCTGCAGTCACATGCAGTAATTACTGCTGTGCTCCTGTGTCAGGTTTGAAAAACCTTTTTAGCAAAACTTTCAATCAGATGGACAGAATGGAGCAAAACATTCTAAAAGTGGTCTTCAAAGGAAAGAGACAACAGAACCTGAAACACCTGTGTAGTTTCAAGTGTGCTAACTATCACAAAGGATAATTTGGCTGAAGCTGTGAATTAATCTAGCTGAGGTTTTAGCAAGTAAGTAGCAATTTCTTTTATTGTTTTTTGAAAAATATATGCATACATATTTTGAATTTGATGCCAACAACACGTTCCAAAAAAGTTGGGATGGGGGCCACGAAAAAAAAACAAAACACCTGGTGGTTGATTGACAACAGGTCAGTAACATGATTGGGTATAAAAAGAGCATCTCAGAGAGGCTGAAGAATAACATTTCTCAACATAAAATAGCAAAGAACGTTTGCTTTTCATCATCTACGGTACATAATATCATTGAAAGATGCAGAGAATCTGGAGAAATCTCTGTATGCAAGGGACAAGGCCAAAAACCAGTATTTGGTGACCATGATCTTTGGGTCCTCAGGCAGCACTGTATTAACAACAGACATGATTCTGTAGTGGAAATCACTGCATGGGCAAACATGCCCCGGCCCTAACTTTTATGTGTTGCTGGCATCAAATTCAAAATGGGCGTATATTTTAAAAAAAAAACAATAACATTTCTCAGTTTCAACATTGGATATGTTGTCTTTGTAGTATTTCCCTTTAAAAATATTATTTACATGATTCGCATATCATTGCATCCTTGAGACATGACTCGGACTCGCATGAAGCAGCTTGTGACCCTCTTTGACCCTGCATCACTATTCTGAGACTAGACTGCTTTTTTTGATCACATGATCTGTGTCACTGTAGTATTGTGATTCATAATTTGGGCTAATTATAAAGCCTCTCTCTCTCTCTCTCTCTCTCTCTCGCAGTGCCGCCATGGGCTTTGATTGCCATCGCCGTGGTGGCCGCCCTCCTCATCCTCACTTGCTGCTTCTGCATCATCAAGAAGTGTTGCTGCAAGAAGAAGAAGAACAAGAAAGGCAAGAAGGGCAAGGATGGCTTCAACATGAAGAACATGCAGGGTGGAGATGTACGTACAGAGGAAACAGGGGTCCCTGAACACATCTGCAAAAATGGAAAACAATGAGCCAATAAAGCCAAAGTTGCTGTATGACTTGCTGTACAGCATAACTAATACTCGAGTCCCTTACTTTGAGTGTGTATGTGCTGTGGTGCACTGTTACATCCACAGTGCACTACAGCTAATGCCACAATTTCAGAATCAATCTGGCTCTGTGATTCTGCCCACACAAAAGGAAGTGTCTTGTAAGCTTGAAGTAGCAATCCAGAACATTTAGAAATCCTGCTGAGTCGTCAGGAAGTGAGAGCAGATGTGTGTGGAAGAGGAGAGTCCATCCAGTCTGTTTTGTTGTGGAATTTTATTTCCTGTGTTTGTGAGTAATGTGGGTGTTGTATCTCATTGTGTTCTCGGATGAGAAAAGACACACTAGGTGATGACGAGGCAAAAAAGGAAGAGATAGCCAAGTAAACACTGTGCTGGATCCACCAGCTCTACAGACTTTCGGATGGGTGCATAACAGTGGTGTAGTGTAAGTCTAAAGCAGTGTGATTTCTGTGCCAAGCTGATCCAGTCCGGTTAGCAAGAATAGGCCTCTAAAAGTGCCTACAACCAAAGTCCTTGTGAGAAAGCCTGTCCACTCAATGGCCATTTTGGCAACACCCCAGGCAGATACCTCCTCTCATACAGGACTGGCTCTTTAAATAGGGAGAGACCTATGAACCTCAAACTAAAAGCCATATTAATGTTTCAAACAATCATTGGTAAAACCTGACAAAACAAATAATAAATGGTTTGGACCAATAGTCTTAAATAACACATGATTTTTTTTTATTATTATTTTGTTCGAGCTTCTGTGCATGCAAGTAAACCATCTATTATCCACTCACATTATTTTTAAATTTAAACCCTTTTAATTTTGTAAGCCTGACACAAAAAAGTAGCAAGTTCTGCTGTTTATCCTACTCTCCTTTATTAATCATGTGATTTTCCAGGCCTGCTGTTGCATTTAACTTGATAAGAATGTAATCTTATCTCAAATATATAATCTTAAGCCCATGTATAAGAATACAAGTCATACATCAGGCACGCTTTTCTATTACTCTGATTAAACAAAAGTTTGCATCCAAAGCCATCTTTTATACAGTGATAGGAAACATGATAGCACACAGAAAACTCCAGTTCTACACACTGAATTGGATAAAATGAGCTCACTGTTGCCAATGGGGACACATACATGACGTTACACCTCTGGTGGCAGATTTAAAGGAGCAGCTTTCTTTTTTTGGCCTGCTACTGGGCTTGTCAGGTTCACGGGGTTAATGATTCATTACTCTGTAATGCCTCATTGAATCTTGAATACTTACAGTGTTAGCCAAGCTTTCTAGAAAACACAATATGCTACAGTGATTTTGCGTGATTGAATACATTTAGCTTTTTCTGCCTGTGGCTTCTTATTATTTTCATTTCATTGGTTGTTTTAGCTGCACATAATACTAAACTGAATGAATTTAATATAGATTCTGTTGTTCTCCTTCTGGATTAGGAAGAGAGTGAAATTTCACTCCTTTCTCCAAAATCATAGTATAGTAGGTATCAGATTTACAGATACCCCTCACACAACATAGCATATAAAGTGAAGTTCTGAAATCTTGCCAGAGGTGCCTGAGCTTAGTTACAGTTGCTAAGCTACAACTAGACAGTTGGTATTTAGGGAAGACATCGAGTGAAGGGTCAGTCTTAACTTGTTCCTTCTCTTTCTTGTGTCAAAATTTCACATACAGTGGTGATAAATACTTCAACCTTTTGCATACACTATATGGCCAAAAGTTTGTAGACACCTGATCTTCCAGTGATTCTTCTGAAATCAAAGGTATTAATAGGAAGTCCCCCTTTGCCACAGTTACAGCCTCTACTCCTCTCTTGTACGGTTAGTTGGGGCCCTTAGACGCCACTCCAACTCATCTCTAAGGTATTGAATGGAGCTCCATCACTCCAGAGAACGTGGTTTCACTGCTCCATAGCCCAATGTTGGGGGGTTGGGCTCATGTACAGCTGCTCCAGAGCATCCTATTCTATTGGCAGTGCTTTTTCATGGAGATCATACAAGCTGTCCATGCAAAGTTGATACCTGTGTCAACAACAGATGTTGTTAAAAGTGTCCAAATATGTCCAAAAGTTTGTAGACAACCCTTCTAATTAGAGAATTCAGCTATTTTAAAGTATTGCTGACACTGTTTAATTGTACTCATACAACTTGTATAATCTCCATTATAAAGCATTGACCAATAGCATGGAATGCTCTGGAGCAGCCACACATGAGCCTAAGGCCACCACACCCAATGCCATGCATCAGCTAGAAGGATATAGGAGTATCATTGTGCGTTTTATTTAAGTACATGCAAAAACTAGAAGTTTTCTAGTGAGTATCCCGTACAACAGGGTTTCCCAACCACCACGAAGCACCCTCTGGTGGTCCTCAGGCCTATGCTGAGGGGAAGCCAATAGTCCTTAGTGGGCCAGCAATGGCACTTTATGTCATATAAACCAGTTAAAACACTACACCTCTGAATACAGCTCATCTCAGTGAAGTCTACGGCCTACAGAGCATGCTCAGAAATCTTCTTCCTCTTGTCCCTGTAGTGTGTCTTTTCTCAGAGTGCTGTTCTTGGTGTTGATGGCTCTCTTTGCTGTCTCTCGTTCTCTTCCTGGTGTGTCTCTTGAGTTCACCCTCTCCCTCTCCCTCTCTCTCTCTGCTCTCCCTCCCTCGTTCCCCTCCTGCTTTGTGTCTTTATGTGTGCGCGCCGCGCTTCTCGGCGCTTCTCCTTCTTGGCGGCGCTACGGTAGGTGAACGGACGAACGGCTCCCAACTCTTTGGCCGCCGAGTGCTAGTGCAGGGTTTGGCGGAATGACCATTGTAACTTCCTTGTTTTTTTTTCAACCTTTTACTGCTTGACAAGAAAAGAAACAAACAAAAAAAAACACAGGAAAGTTACAATGCAGATGATTACATGGACAAACCAATAATAACCAATGCGAAACCTTGTTATGAGAATGGAACAATTAACTCACTAATACTGACAGGTTTGAATACTTTAGTCAGAGGCAACCCATAAGACTCACAGATGCATGTGTTAAAGGGCATAGCTGCTTCTATGGGGGAGAAAAGCTCAGAACTATAGGCTGATGAGGTTTCTTTAAAACTTGAAAGTGGGAAAAGACATGATACAAATAAAAGAACATTAGAGAATCTGAGGAACATTAGTACATACTATGCTGTGCCCTTTAATTTGCTGCTATAGGGAGATTTTTAGGAATGGGCTTGAGACTGACAATTTTTTTGGTGGCACTCTGTCGAAGCACCAGCCACAGTAAGGACACACAGTGCTGTTGACCCAAAGCGCACACTCTAATTCACATTACACTCAATAAAACAGAAACAAGCTGAATGAAATATGGGAATCTGATGAAGAGCTCATGTCATTTTACTCCTAAAGTCCCAAAGGATTTATGCTTCTCAGCACCTTCCCTTTTAATTAATTATACTCTGAACAGGAACCAGTCCGATCCTGGAACAGTTTGTGAATCAGGACTCACTTAAAGGGGAACTCCACCAATTTTTCAAAAATTCTGCGTAATTAAATGGTTAAAATATAAACAAAGTCATTCAGAGTGGCTTGGTGTGAAATGCTCTGTTCTAAAGAAATTCACTCAGAATTGTTCACAGTGGTGGTGATAGGAACCAGACACAGAGAGAGGAACCCTCACAGAAAGTTATTACATGAAATAGTTATGACTATGCTGCCTGATGCCTGAGACATTGCTTCACGATAGTTCTGAGATCATATTTTTGGCCCAAAACTTTTTAAAAATCATTCATGGCAGAGAGATACATTCAAGCCGGGCGTTTTAAGGAAAAATAGTACCCAAATAAAGCTGTTTTTCAGATTTATCACTATCTTACCATCATCAGTATAATACATCAAAACTCAGGAAGAATGTTGGGTTCATTTTAATTGTAAATAAAATGGCAATTTTTGCATTGTAGACATTGCTACCCCTGGTATCAGTAAGTAGGTTTCTACGATGCACCCCATCAAACCTCTCTGACAGACTTTATTTAAGTTTTAGTGATTAAAATTATACAAAATAATCACAAGTCACTGGAATGAATTCCCCACAGATTGAGCCAATTATTTGGCTAAATTTCATCAGTGAGCAATCTTAATCAAAACTATCTTTAAGCAATTGTGGCCTTTATATAAGTTGCTAAGCTAAGTTGTACATTGAATATAAATTGTAAAATGTATGTGTTAAATCAGCTGTAAGAGTTTATTTGGTATTTAGATCCACTGATAATGCCCAAATGTTAGTAATGTGTGTTTTTCTGCACCAGTCTGGGTGCTATTCAAAAATACTGAAGCAAAAAATAGAAGGAAAACACAAGTCAGCATTTCAAAGTCCAGAAATAGCACAAAGGAATCCATTCCTCTTTAAATCATTTTTGCTCACCAGTTATTCCCCTGAGAATTACTGAGTAGCGGTGAATTAGATCATGCTGACGAGAAAATGGGCCTGCAAATGCGGCCAGGCAGCACTTAGTCACACGCAGCAATTTTGAGCTGCAATTTCTCAGATTATTATCTCAAAAACATAGGGATGTTTCAAAATATACATGAATGTGAACAAGTCACCAAATATATTTTCCTATGTTTCACATCTTGAGTAGTTTTACATCTTAAAGTAAATAAACATATTCAACTCAATACATTCACTAACATTGCTTTTAATGTATGAAAACTAACAGGGACCAAACGCTATAAGCTTGCTGGTCTTTGCTAGCATAAATACTAGCATACATATCAGTTTCATAGCAGTTACTGATGATTACATAGTAGATTAATAACTAAATAATAGGCCTGTAATTTACACTGGAGAATATTGCGAATCCAAACTGATGGGCACCAGTAGGATGCCAACATCTACGAACCACAAGATTCCACTATTTCCACTCAACATCCAAGACTATATGAAAAAAAATAATAATGTGTCACCAAAAGAAATTGTGAGCTCAAGTCATTTGCAACATCCAACCTTGAATGACTGCATTGGTAAGAGGCTGCTATAACAGGCATATGAACAGACAAGACCAGTTATAATCACATCTACACTCTATTGCACCAAGAGGCTAACAAAACCCTGAGCTTGTGGCATGCTGCAGACAGGAAACACCAAAACCCCTCACTGTACCTCATCCACTAAAGGCATTCATGCATGCTTCCTCCTGCAGAAACAACAGGACGATGACGACGAAGATGGAGAAACGGGTCTGACAGAGGAGGAGAAAGAGGAGGAAGAAAAGGAGCAGGAGAAACTAGGAAAGCTGCAGTACTCTTTGGACTATGACTTCCAGGATAATAAGGTGCCTCATTTCATCTTTCCTCGGTGATGTTTGAGTGATGTGTGGTGTTCACTCATGTTTTTTTCTTGTGATCTCTTTAAATAGAAATATTAAATGTAAGTAAGTGCTGCAAATTTCTAAACAGAAGGTTGTAGGTGGGGGTATCAGTCACTTTCACTCAAACTCCCAAACATCCATCTCTCCATTCAACAAAAGGATAGCATTTTTTATTAAATCTGATATTTCATTCAAACTATCTAAGAGCTGATATCCTACATTGGGGCACTGATTACTTTTGTGTGGTTTATGTACCAAAAACTGACTTAATTCATTTTGAAATGACCATTTTCCAAACTTTATTTTTCCCTTAAACAGACTGTTTTGGTTGCTGCACTTTTAAGACTGGAATATGTAAATGAACTCTGTTCTGACTGGCTGCTCCCAGCTCTAATTGGCTGCCATATATTGCACCTCGGTCCAGGCTGAAACACTCCTTATAACTGAAACACCCCAGGGTCTCGTCCCAGTAGGCCGTGCCTGGTAATCCTCCACCGGAAGGTGGGCAGCGGGCACCCTAATTAGATGCCTGAACCACCTCAACTGGCTCCTCTCAATAGGCGAAGATATGTAAATAAATAGATTTTTAGAAAGACTTAAAAACAGGACTTATTTATTATTATTATTATATGGACTTTATTAGCTGAGGAGAGAACAGATCATTTTGAAACTTTAACAATACTTTGTGCATATGTTCACCTACCTTCACCTAGAACAACAAACTCTTTTATTTTAAATCTTTTATCTCATTTTTTCTATTATATGGACGCTTTAAGGCATTTTTCATTTAGTTCTTCAGATTTCTCCATCTGAAGGTATTTGCATTGCACTGAGGGTGATCCATTGAATTTTATTCATTTAAACGTCTGCATCCTTTTCACATAAATAGAATATATTCCATCAACAAAATTATTGCAAAAAATGAGAGAAAAAAACTGTGCTGATGTAATATATTATATTTATGTAGAAATTATGTGCACAAGTCAATTCAATACATTTTGCCAGTGAATGAAAAACTGTTTATTTCAAAACTGGGGAGGATTTTATGCTTCCCTTCATGTCTCCTCTACTGATACCCTTTTTCTTTTTTATCTGCCACTTCTTTTCCCAGTTGACAGTGGGGATCTTGCAGTGCGCTGACCTGATTTCTATGGACTCTGGAGGAACTTCAGACCCTTACGTCAAAGTCTTCCTCCTCCCCGACAAGAAGAAAAAGTTTGACACCAAAGTGCACAAAAAGACACTCAATCCTGTGTTCAACGAGACCTTTGTCTTCAAGGTTTGTTGTTTAAACAATGCTTTTCTGCATCCCTCATTTAGAAGTTAACAAAAGCGTAATCTGCATCGCCATAGTGCTAAAGCATTTTTACATTTTACAGAGAATGTGATGTACTAATAGGCCTAAATAGTGAACTTACTGAAAGTACACATTAAAGTATCAGTACATAAACGTAGCATTAACTCTCTATCATATGAGCATCAGACATCATCAGGTAAATTAATATTATGTAGAAGCCAAAGGCCCCTGCTCTGGAACATGTTCATCTAATGAAAACATCTGTTATAAGATATCAGACATATGATGTGAAATTGTTGTATGGGTAGCTTTCCAGGACTTAGTATGACTTTGCCTCCAGGGTGCACAGTATAATGAGGAGTGGACAAATGCAGTGAATTTTCTGTACATGGTTCTGATGATCCTGCAGTTGAAAACAAGTGAAGCAATGTGCTGGAAGGCCTTTAATACTAAGTTTATGGAGCAAATATACTGCAAATTTCCCTGTAAGGTTGTATGTTTATAACTGCGGCCCAAATAACAATCTCTGCCGTTGGGACCATGTGGTGTGGATAAATGGTTCTTTGCATGGTCTCTATGCATGGACTAAGAACCTGTTTGAAAATGGTTCCATATAGCACCAAAAAGGTTCCGCTAATGTTATGAGTCAAACAACCCTTTTTCAGTACAGTAGAGTGTAGAGCTTTTGTTTTCCCACTCAAAATTACAGTAGCCTCAGAATGATATATTTCTTAAAAATATTAATGTTAAAACATATTTAACACAACATATATGAGAAAAAAAGTAAAACAGACATTTGTTCCCATTATTCCAATGTAGCTGATCCACCAAGACATGTTGGGCGTATGAAGTTTTCTTCCAAAGTTTTTCACTGGAGCTACGAGGCTAATGTAGCTAACAAGTACTAGCTATCATGTTTTGAGAGATTATACCCCACTTAAAAGGCTAGCCCTGTGCAAACTGCATGTTTAAATCATCGCTCATTTGACTCAACACTAAAAGTTGTATGATATACTGTTATCTATAAAAATGGACAATGCATTGTCCGCTAGCTTAAAACAGTAGTAGTATTCTGAGGCCTGAATTGTTTATAGATAACAATGTCATACAGTGCCGAAACCACAAAAGCAAGTCTATTTGAGATTACTTAATGACTCAATACAGTTTGAATAAGGTATGTGATGATTTAGGAATGCATTTAGCACAATGCTAATTGTTGGTCATGGGTTTCCATTACTTGTTAGCCTTGAAAATAAAGAAGCAAACTTTGCACACCAGTTACGTCTTGGCTGACTGATTACATTTAGGGTAAGAGGAAAATAGTTTAATTTAGGTTTTTCACAAGGATTCTTTCATTTTTCACTGAAGCAATGAGGCTAAGCAGTGAGGCTATCAAGTACTAGCTAACAAGTACTGGGAGATCATGTCCCACTAATTAGGCTAGCACTTTGGAAACTGCATGTCTAAATCATCGCACACTTGACTCAACACTTACAGTTGATATACTGTTATTTATAACAATGAACAATACAATGTCAGCTAGCTTAGAGCAGTAGTAGCATAACAGGCTATCATATAGTGTTTTTTTTTAAATAATTCATGTTGGTGAAATGTGTTAAAAAATGCTGTTGTTTTCATCTTGTTCTCTAACTCTCCAGCACTGCTGGTGCTTCAGGCTTAATGCCTGCTTTGGCTAAAGAGCGAGTTTTCTTTCCCGTAGTCACTAATAAGCTCTACAGGGAGCTAACGGGCCTCTGGTGGTCAGCCATACGGCTACAGCTCGAGCTCACTGCCTCGCTGTGAGAGAGCTGATCTGGGACAGGAACCATTCTCCATCTTCTAAGCAATCTGTCTTACAGTGAGAGGCCGACTGTACATTTTAAAAAAGGAAGGCCACATTTCAACACTGAGTCCGTGAATGAAAGAAAGAGAGAAAACAAGCGAGAGAGGGAAGTGAGGAAGTCTGGTGAGCTTGCTGAGAGGAGGGTAAACAGAGAGCAGTCGACTTCATTTTATACCTGTCAGCAAATCGCAGCACATTCATTTTCTTTGATGTTCCTGCACTAATGAGTCAGTGGTAGACACAGCTTATGATCTCTGTCAGAAGAAGAATTAGGATTTGTTTTGCTGTATTGGGTGTTTTAGGGAAGAATACAGATCAAGTAGGTCAAAGACTTCAATTTCACTATATAAGACTTGTTTGCTAAAAATGAAGCAGCATTAGCACTAGACTCATAATGCCACTGTTAGTCATTTGTTGAACAAGGAATATACCAGTTAGCCAGATTAATCACAGTGGTGCGCAGCACAACTGGCATTACTAAAACGTTCTTGTCTTTGCTTGCATCATTTCCACCAGAAAGGTCTCCAAATTCCCAAATGTACATAGTTCCATTTAAAAAGAAACCTTATACATTTTTTCTTGTACTGTATTTTTTTCTGATGTCCATTGATGACGTTTTCGTGGGTTTATGTACCAAAAACAGTCAGAATTCTTTTTTACATTATCATTTTCCAGCCTCTTTATACAAGGCTGTTTTTGTTAATATTGGGATATGTAAATGAGCTCTGTTCTGATTGGCTGCTATGTATTTGCCTCATGTAAAAATCAATCTAGGCTAAAGCACTCCTTATAATTTTAGTTATAAAACAGGCTGTTTTTGCAGCTTAGTTTCCATATATGGACTGTAATGACTGGAGAGTGAATGGTAAGTTTTGAACCTTGTTTGACAATGTTTACATACTACAACCCTGTTTCCAAAAAACGGGAAACAGTGCAAAACGGGACATTGTGCAAAATGTAATTAACAACAGAATGCAATGATGAAACTGAGAAGTTTTATTGTTTATGAAAAATATGTGCCTATTTTGAATTTGATGCCAGCAACAGGTTTCAAAAAAATATGGGACAGGGGCATGTTTTACACCGTGTTGCATCACCTCTTCTTTTAACAACACTCTGTGGGAGCTGTTTAGGAACATTTTCCTTTCCAAGTCATCCATGCTATGTGCACTAATGCACTCCCATACCATCACAGATGCTGTTTTTTGAACTGGTAACAAACCAGAAGGTCCCTTCCCTTTTAAGCCTGGAGGACGTGGTGCCCATGATTTCTTAAAAGAATTTTTCACTTCGCCTCTGTCCATCTTAAATGAGCTCAGGCCCAGAGAAGGCGGCAGCATTTCTGGATCCTGTTTATATATGGTTTCTTCTTTGCATAGCAGAGTTTTAACTTGCATTTGTGGATGCAGTGATGAACTGTGTTCACAGACTGTGATTTTCCTGTGTTCCTGAGCCCATGCAGTGATTTCCACTACAGAATCATGTCTGTTTTTAATGCAGTGCCACCTGAGGGCCAGAAGATCACGACCAGCCAATACTGTTCTTTGGCCTTGTCCCATACAGAAATTTCTCCAGATTCTTTGAATCTGTTTTTTTATGGTGAACCCCTCCCCATCTTACAGAATAGGAGTTGACTTGCAGTACATATTTGTTGCGCTGTGAATCCACTATAGGGGTTTTCATTTGTATGAACTCTTATCTTTTCTGTTTTATTTGGTGATACCGACCTTTTCTGTCTATATAGGGACATTTAGCACGATTTACTTAATTCAACACAATCCTTACTATTCTGTAAGAAATATAATTACTTCATATAGAAGTTTTTAGCAGTGTTCATTTTGCCTGGTGGTTTCCCCTTCAGGTTCCCTACCAGGAGCTGGGAGGAAAGACTCTGGTCATGTCTGTGTACGACTATGATCGCTTCTCCAAGCACGACATCATTGGTGAGGTCAAGCTGCCCATGAACACAGTGGACCTGGGGCAGCCCATCGAGGAGTGGAGAGACCTGGAAAGTGCTGAGAAAGAAGAGGTGAATTGTCCGAAACATGTTTAAGGCCTTTCCTTAACGTAATTCATACATTGGAAATGAACTTTTTATCTCAATTTAGGAATCTATTTCCTCTTTAGGGAAGCAGAAGTGTTTTTTTCCAAGGCAATGCTCCAAAGACCTCTTTAGATCTGTTTTTAAAGGTGTAAATGTTCATTTCATTTCCATTTACATGAACTACATACATTAAAATCTGTCTACACAGCCTTGAAGCATGAAGAGCTGCCATGCAAAGTATCTTGGTCACCTCCTCATCTGCTGCATATGTGATTAATCGCCCCCTTTTCTTTCTCTCTGTAGCCAGAGAAGCTTGGTGATATCTGCATCTCACTACGATATGTCCCCACTGCTGGCAAGCTGACCGTTTGCATCCTAGAGGCCAAGAACTTAAAGAAGATGGACGTGGGTGGACTGTCTGGTGAGCAGAACCAGCTGAGCTGAGAAGTAGAAATGACCCTGAACTAAGAAATGTTAGGACATGAAAGGGGAATTTCAGGAGTTGATGAGATGTAAACAATGTCAATGAAAAGCAGAATAACAGATTGGTTCATTGGAAAGAAACACACCAGATCGTTTTTTTACGGTGGTGGTGATAGGAACCAGGAGTCAGTATGTCTACAACACAAATGTAGTGTTTATCCAAAACCACCAGTAAATATACTTGTATCTTTGAGTTTGTGTGTGTAATGTTGCTAAAGATAAAACAGTGTTAAGCTTTTTTGGGGAACTATTTTGCCTTAATACACCCTGTATGTACCTTTCTGCCATGTAAATTATCTCCCAAGACTATCATAAAACAACGTCCCAGGTATCAGGCAACATATTTGGAATCATTTCATGTAATAACTTTCTATGAGGGAGCTTTTAGAGGCATTAAACTCTTCAGACGTCTGGTTCTTATCGCCACCACTGTGAACAATCCTGACTTGGTACATTTCTAGAATGGAGCATTAATATTTGATTTATTTATGCTGCAACTTAGAAACATCTGTGAAATTACCCTTATGAATGTCAGTTTTACCTAAAACCAAAGACTGACACTGACTGATCACCAGACCTGTCCCTGTTGTATTGGTCATACCCAGCCAGGTTACTCTCAAAGCAAAATTCCGTGGCAATTACTGCTACTGATTACCTGATTATAATGAAATTAGTAATCTGGTCTTGAAGGATCTGATGTTCTGATGACGCTTCATTAATGTTTAATTGCTGTCCACTTGAAGATAAAACAGTATCTCAGAGTAAACTAATTAAAATTCTCCTGAATTTATACACATATTCTGGAACATATCTACAACAAGAGAATGTTCTTTAATTTGACTTCTGAAATTTGACTTGTGCAGATCCATATGTGAAGATCCAGCTGCTGCAGAATGGCAAGCGTTTGAAGAAGAAGAAGACCACAGTAAAGAAAAACACACTGAATCCGTACTACAACGAGTCCTTCAGCTTTGAGATCCCACTGGAGCAGATGCAGGTATGCTGCAACACCCGAATTTATAAAAAGCATAGAGTTCGTTACCCTGTGGAAGGAAGTACTGCAGTGAAGATTAGTTTAGAGATTTGCTATCCAGTTCCTGAAAAGTATTGATATCACTAGTTATGGCTGGAAGCTGGGAGATGGCTGGGAATATGTTGTTCTGGAGATGTTCTAGAGGTCCTCATGGACTAATGGTTGAGTATTCTATGTTTAAGTAGCAGAACATGAGAGGGAGTGTGTTATTGTGAAGAGCATCATGATGTTTTTTGTAATACACACGACCTCAAACGTTAAAAAAAAAAAACTAAAACAAAGAAGCCCAGAATAGAATGCTTTAATATTTGCAATTCCTTTCACCAAAAGAAGCAGTAACTTTTGCATAACTGATAGAGCCATAAAACTGTTGCAATTTCAGGTTTAGCTTTTTTAGCCCTTGCTGGATTAATCTGAATGTCAGTTTGTTCCAGTCAGTCTATAAAGCATGTCACAGACCTTCTTGTTTGCTGAGTTCTATTCTGTTTGTTTCTGGCTAATTCCAGTTTGTTTAGTTGACCTGTCACAGCTACTGACCCAAAAGCTACACACTTAAAAAAGATGGTTATCCAGTGTTTCTTTAGCAATATAGAACCGTGTACCACCAATCTATATAGAACCATGAACACTCAAAGAACCCTTTGCATGATTTAAGGGTTCTTTGCATCATCAAAGCGTTCTTCAGACTGATGGGGAATGTGCTGTAGATGGTTCTATATAGAACCTATATAGAAAGGGTTCTGTATAGCACCAAAATGGGGGTTTTCTATTGTTCCAAGCTTGACATTGTAACAACAGAAGAATGCTTAGGGTTAGGACTAGGGTGAAGGTTGGGTTTAGGTTTTGTGTTAAGGTTAGGGTTAAGACAATTATGGTCAGTTTAGTATAATTATCAGGATATATTTAGTATATATATATATATATATATAAGTTTAGGATATTTAGTTGAATGTAACTTAAAAGTAAATTAAGTGTCTACAAAGCATCCAAAGTGGACTCTCCAATTACAATATTACCACCAGGAGTTTCTAATATGGTCATGACGTCAGCTACAGAGTGACACATGACTTCAGAGGTCTGTTTATCATGTTATCATGTAAGGCAATCTTACTTTCAATACTGTCTTTGTTTTGCAACCTAGAAAATCCTTGTGGTGGTCACCGTCTTTGATTATGACAAGATCGGTAAGAACGACGCCATCGGGAAAATCTTTATCGGCAGCAAGGCATCGGGCACGGAGCTGAAGCACTGGTCTGACATGCTGGCCAACCCACGCCGCCCCATTGCCCAGTGGCACACCCTCAAAGAGGAAGAGGAGATAGACGCCACGCTGGCTGGCCTTCACGCCAAGAAGTAACACCACCTCTCTATAACTCGACTAACCAACTAACCCCCCCTCAACAGCCACCACTGCATGAACCCTGACCTCCTTTACATCTACACCAGATAATCACACAGTATCCAGAAAAATATACTTGAAAAAGTAAACAGCATCGCTGAATGTGAAACCTCCATGTCTCCATGTAACCTTTTCACTATGTAGCGTACATTTAGTAGAAGCATGGAGAGTGAAAGGAGAGCCAAAGCAGGTTTCAGATTGTCATCCCTGTGCTCTTCAGCAGAGGGATATTCGCACTTGATGGAGGCATATGGCCTAAAGCACTGACACAGCATCGTTACACAAGACATTTTGTTCTCTGTAGTCAATTACATCAACTTTAAACGGAAAATAATCTCACTGCATGTAAGTAAATTATTAATGAGGGCAGCTCCCAAGAGTGAGAATATGCTAAAACTACCTGAAGATATGAAGATACTCATCTGTGTTGGTAGTATAGGAAGGTGCCAACCAGGCATCAGAAATATATTTCCAATATTTCCAACATTGATCTAGCAGCTGCAGTTCGCTAAATGTTGGGTTATCTACCATTTTCAGTACGTTAAATATTTAATGTCGCACTATTGAGTGCTTTCAACATGGATTTGTTCCACTTGAAAAGGGAAAAGCAGCCTATTCTGTGGTTTACCGGCCGCTCGTTCTGCTTCTATGAGCTGGCTCAGAGTGCCTGAATGAATATGCGTAATTAATCATCACAATTTTTCAGCGTTCACGTATTTCATGAATAGTCCCAGGTGTATTGAATATTTTATTGTATGATGAAATTGTTTACAACGTGTACGAAAACTTTTTCGGGCTGCTGGATTTGACTTGAGACTTTTAGATAACAGAGTTGATTCTGTGAATGAGATGCTGAGAAGATTCAGGGCTATGTGGAGTGATTTACAGCTCTCTCTGTTTATACGCTGTTGAAGAATAGGCTAATAAGTGATAATAACCAGTTACCATTTAATGTTGCATTATGTCTAAAATAATAATACTTTTATTTGTCTGAGGGCTTAAAGAAGGGATTATGTTATTATTGATTATATTACTGTGCCAAACATGGACTGACATCACATTCATGAGTTACATTACATTGGCCCATTTTAACAGATACCATTTGCAGTATAGTGAAACTGGCCAAGAATGCTTAGTGAGAACCGATCTATTTCCATCTGTTGGTACCGGTATGTACTCTTGAAAGCTTCTAATCCATTTTGATTCCCCTCTTTTCATCATCTCACATACATTTTAATACCTCCGGTTAGTCCACTGCCTTGTTTGGAGCATACAGATCTATTCAGTACCACATCACTCTTTGAAATGCCAAAGTAACAATAATAAGGGACACAGTTCAGTTCAGTGGAGATGCGATGATCATCGTCCATTCATTTTACACTTGAAGGGCAACATAAGGCGATAGGCAGCATTTAATCCCAGTCCATCAGTGTGCACTTCTTTCCTCATAACTGTGCTCTGTACATATGCATTGATCAACTTTGTTAATACAGCATGTATCTATAACTTGATGTACATAGAAGCATGTTCTGAAGATAGAGCATAATTATATTGTGTATGTGTGTGGCACTTGTCATTTTGATAATAAAATGTAGAGGAAAAATGCACTGACTGCACATTTTATTAAATTTTCCCAGAATGGGTGTAGGACTGAATGTAAATCTAGAGCTATATTAATAGAGTCTTTCAGGTTACTTTTATTGCCTGAATCTGAAGAGTGCTACTATGAGCTGTGTTATCCAATTAGAGTCCATATTTGCTGTTTAATCTGTAATTTGTTCGTTTATTCATGTGCTGATTATGTTTTCTCTATGTTTGTTCACTTGTTAACACTTCTGTGTCCATTTAAGTGTGATATTACGTTTGGGCCCACAATATTCTGCTCTTACTTTGGTTACAGGGGGACTCAGCAGATGTTTTCTAAATTTCTGCATAAATGAATGGCCAAGATGTGAACACAGTCATTCACAGTGGTTTGGTGTGAAATGCTCTGTTCTAGAGAAACTTAGTCAGAATTGTTCTCAGTGGTGGTGATAGGAACCAGACATCTGAAGCATCTTTTAATGCTTGTAAAAGCCAACTTGCAGAAAGTTATGACATGAAATGGTCACAGATACATTGCCTGAGGCCTATATGATACATTTGAGACCAGATATTTGGCCTAAAATGTACTTTTAATAGCTACTCAGAGGGTGGCAGAGGTGCATTCAGGGTGGCCCATTTTAACAAATACCATTTACAGTAAAGCAACACTGGCTAAGAAAACCATAATTTCATAATTTATCACAATATTACCTTCATCAGCATTACATACAGTAACTTAGAGGACACATGTAGGTTCAGGGGTGGTTTTGGACAATACAATATTGTGTTGTACCCCTGCTTTGTGTTGTGACCTCTGGTTTCTCTCTATTGAAACATTTCACACCAAACCACTCTTTATGACTTTATTCACATCTCAACCACCGAAGTATGTACAAAATTAGAAAAAATTGGTGAAATTCCCCTTCAAAGAGTAAGATAACCATTGTCGAAAGCCATACGTTGGGGCCTTTTCCGCAACAAAACCTGCACCTGGCTGCTAGAGATAAATCTCATTATAAATCCTTGTGAAAAAGGATGTGAAAGGTAGTTTCAGTGTAAAAAATGACTGACTGTCTGTTGAAAGGCAGTTTTATTTCTTTAAATGAACAGTTCACCAAGAGATCAAGACTCATTTCACGCACCCATTTCATAAACACATGCAGGAAAGTATTAGTATGCTAATGCTAGGCTACCTCCACAATCAGAAATTAATTACTTTAGCATTTCACTTTGCTCAGTATAGTGCTTGCAAAAAAATGATTAGTAGTTTATTACAATTCTAGCGACCCACAAGTAAAAGTGGCATGATTTTATTATGCAATTTGTGTCTACATTGATGTATGCCTGCGTGTGTGTGGATGTGTGCGGGTGTAAAACGAAGCATTTCTATTCATTAAGGTTTGATTTCTGTTTTCTACTGAATGGTTTGCCATATGGCTAAACGACACTGATGGATAATGTTCCATCTTTTCTGAAGGAATAAGAAGAATATGTATCATTGTAAAGGGTATTGTCTTCAAAGCCTGTTGTCTAATGTGCTCCTTTGTTTTCTTTTATCTTTTCTTTGAGTTAATTATTTCTTAATGTTGTACCTTTATATGTGGGCCTTTTTTCAATGTTTCATGAAGGGCAGTTTAATGTCTGCCATTGTGAAAAAGCTGTGAATAGCCTAATAAGATGTTTGTTTATTTGTTTGTTTTTTGCCCGTATGCAATGCCTTTGGAACTCCATGCTCCGCCCACAAATGTGTTCTGTTGTGGCAACTGTTGCTAGGTGGGAGAAGCTTGGCAAAAATCAAATTCAACCAAATCAGAAGAGTGTAATGCTTAAACATTGGAGTGTACAAAGTTTGTTTAGTGTCGCCACATAATGTTTTTTGTTCTTGTAGCAAATCAAGACCAGCCAGATTAGCGATTAAAAATGATGAATTGCTAATATTACCTCACATATGCAACACAAACACACCTGATCTGCCCTAATACTGTAAACTTTCACACACATACAAAAGAAATATAATTTAAACTGAATAACGCACTTTAAATGTATACATATACATTAAATGTATATATTTAAATGAATATATTACAGCTTCTCATTAGACTGAATGGGATTTTCACCAACGCTTGCCCACAGTAGCTATGAAAAAACACATTTGTAGGCGGAGCATAGACAGGTCAGTTGTGAGGATAAGAAGCTTTGATGTAGGGGCATTATCAAAATGTTTTGATTTGTCTTTTTCATCTTTAATATCTTATTTTTTTAACTTTGAGGTCATGGCGACAGTGCTTATTCTCCTGCTACCGTTGCTTTAACGTGCTGTGTGCTTTTTCAGTTCTTTCGAGCTGCCTTGGACTTCTAATGCCGCTGCTTAGGACTGCTTGCGTGTGTGTTGTGAGCCTGCGTTGCAATAGGACCAATGCAGAATAAAAGAAATGTCTTCATGTTTCTTCTGTGACCATGATTGAAAAAGCTGCAGGGGCTCTTTACTCCCCTGCCAAGCAGACAACAAAATCCCAGTCTTCCCTGGGACACTGTGGACGCCAATGACTGGCCCCAATCCCCAGTTTTCAGACATTTAATTCCACCACCTGTCAGAAACCATGTCAATCGCAAAGACCTCTGCAGATGCAATACTGCCGACACTGCTGCTTACTAACACCACCTAACCCACTCTGTCCCTGCGCTCATCTCCACCGTGTAAAGACTTTTTCCAAAGAACTGCTCGCCCTCGTCCCTTTTTTGTCTCGTGTAGAGGTGATCTGTATCAGTGATTCCTTTTGTGGATGCTTTGGCATGCTTTACCTTCTCTTACAGAGGAACACATTTGCCACTGGAAAATAAGCTTTTGCTACTCCTGTAGCTTAATGTAGCTTATTGTCATCCTGTATACCAGAAATGTTAATACTTCAAGAGATACCAAGCGTTAAAAAGTCTACATGCAGATTCATCCATTGGTTACCGACTAGCTAATCATATGAAATAAAAGCCTTTTAAATATCTTTGTGTGGAGTGGTGCATCAGTCTTGGTCCTATGATTAATACAGTTTTATCTACATCAATTTGTGTCGCGACTTCATTTAATGTCTATTTTGGGATTTTTTTAAGTGTAATCTCATTCCTGAGTGATGAATGCATTATATAATCACTTACATGTATAGGCAGTTTAAAGTGCCAGTGATGCAATGTTCTGTATTCTAAATATCTGATAAGCACATCTGAAAAATATCTACATGCAGAGATAGTTCACAGCCAACTGGCAAAAGTAGACTACATTTATTTAAACTACATTTTTCCTTTACAACAAATTGAATAACTGAATAGTCAGAACAGCAAAAAATTGTGACACTGCTCAATTAAGCCAGCTCAGCAAGGGCCCAGCTGATCATGGATTTCCATGAAAAAATTCAGGCAAAAACTTCCATTTATTTTATTCAATCCTGCCAACTTCCATACTTTCCTGTACTTTGAATAGTTTTTTAGTTATTAATTTTTAAAATTTGTCCAGCAGATTTTAAATTGCATCTTAAATATTGGGTCTAACTCGTTAAAGAATGACTGAAATGAGCTGAAATATTAGGTACGTACAAATTAAGAGTTTACCAACTCTGGATATAACAATTTTTTTAAAAGATGTATGGAAAATACACTCTTATTTCTCTAATTAATATTAGTTACAATATAGCATTGATATGTCTTGTATGTGTAAAGCCCTCTCTCAATAACCACAAAGAAATCACAAAGAAAAAAAACCCTGGTGGTCTATAATGTGTTTTGGAATGAATCTTAAATGGTAGATTCATAATCAATGATTAATCCATTTTCAAATTATGGTTGCAAATTTTATTTTTGGAAATTTTGTTGGTTGGACAAGCTTGGAAAAATATCATTCCACATAATCAGAATTTTTTTTTATGCTTAAATATTGGACCATACATTGTTTGTTTAGTGTCACCACATAATGTTTTTGTTTTTGTAGCCAGATTAGAAATGAAAACAGATGAATTTGCCACCATGCTAATATTACCTCATATATGCAACAGAATACACCTGATCTATCCTAATAGTGTGAACTTACACATACATACAAACATAATATAATTTAAATTGAATAATGCACTTCAAATGTTTACATTTTGACAAAAACAGCTTTTCATTTGGCTGAATGGGGTTTTCGCCAAAGCTTGTCCAGATTTTAGGTTTTATGTAGTATTCCTACATTCTGTCAAACTTATGAATTATTACTTTCTGCATGCAATATTTAAAAAGTACATGAATATCATAATTAAAAATCTATTTCAGTCACTTTTTGACCATATATTCCCCCAAAAGGGACTTTTTACTAAATAAGGACAACTATCAAATAAAAATGCCATATGTGCTCTGACTGCGTCATGGTTTCATTTTGTTTCTTTGATATGATGTGTTAGACTAACAAACACAATATGAAAATATTAAACAGTAAATAAGACAACAGTAACAAAACAACCTTTATAAGGTTTATAAGGTAATATGTTGTAATATATTTCTTGCTGGGGGATTTATTACACAGGATCTCTTACAGAGGCACCTAACAAGTATCCTGCCTTGCTGGCCATCAAAATAAATTTGCTTAGCTCATTAACAAATATGTCTCTGTTATTATGTGATGTTTCCTGATAGCCGGCTTTTCCTATCATACTAATAGACTCTGCTAAATATGCTGCCTCAGGCTGAGCTTATGATTTGCACTTTCTGCTGCTGTTCCTGATGTTTAAAGACCTGAGTGACATAAAAAGTGTTTCTCCTGATGTTCTCCAATCTTTTAAGGTCTTTCCTGCAGAACATTTCAATGGCCAGTAAAACAGGATACTAGTTGTGTGCCTCTGAGATTTGGAATGGATGAAAGAACATATGATTCATATATGCAGCACACGTTACATAGTACACATATAGCAACATATATACTTATTGTGCAATATTCGGGGTGGTGGGGATCATTGTGTAATCTGGTGATGGTGTGAAGTGTATTGCTATGGTTTGTTGTGTCTTGTATGATTGTCTGGTTCTCTGTTTTTTTTCCTTTTTCCCCTCAAATGGAGACACTGTGATGCAAGACAACCTTCAGAGAAATCTGACAGTAAAGAGCATCTGATTGAGATCTGTATCATATTCTTCAAAACATGAAACATATTCATTTTAAAACCCAACATTGCTCTTTACCTGTGTTGCTATTTTTATGCTGGGCTTCTTAGTCAAATACCTCATTTTCAAAAATGACTAAACCATGAAAGAGTATAAATACACCTCTATTTTTATATGTCAGTGAGACTTAAGTAACTTAAGTAACATTTTGAGAAGCCTGGGTCAAAAATGCTCCAGTAATGGATTTTTTAGTTTCTACTGCTTGTAGAAATTAATAGTTCATAGAACTGGATGGATAGATATGTGTTTAAGCAATAGAACACGAGAGGGAATGTTCCACGAGAGGAATCACGAAATAACATCACGGCTGTGATTTGGTCGCCATAGATCATCACAGCCGTGATGTTATAGCGACAACACACAACCTCGAGTGTTCTATCGCTTTTATACAACAGTTAAATAAATAAAGTAATGAATTAATAAACCGGGCCGTGAACGAGCCATTTAGTATGTTTTAATGTTCGCAGTTCCTTCCGCCAAATTATAGTTCCTTAACAAGCAGCTTGTTGCTGCGTCAGAGTAACGAGCTCCGCCCACTCGCTGCACAGCCGGCAGTTCGTCCTCCAGCTCCTTACACTAAATTCCCAAACTGTCACCACTGAGCAGCTTTTTTGTTTTTTTATTGCGGCAGTTTGATGGCTCAGTCCGATTTGGTCCGACTCTGAAGATCAGACTACACGTTTGGCGAATGGTATTGGGTTCATTTCCAGCTGATTCCAGGTTGTTCAGCTCTTCTTCTGTCACAGCTGCCGACTGAAAAGCTGCTCAGTGGTGATGACAGTTTGGGAATTTAGTGTCGTCTCATCTTCAGAGTCTGACCAAATCGGCCGTCGGTCAAATGTGACCTTAAAAGCGTCCATTTTCTGTTTGTGGCAAAGTAAGAAGTAAACACGTTCAAATGGCTCGAGCGTCTCCTACAGCTGTCAAACTCGTTGCTTAGCAACAGCGTCTTAGCGGAGTGATACCCGTGACGTTATGGGGAAACATCAGCACAATTAGAACGCCTCTCAACCAATCAGCTTGCGTGACCGGAACTGACTGTTGTATAAATATAAATATATAATATATATGTTTATATATGTGTATATATAAATGTAACACTAAAAACATTTTTTCAAATAATATATCACTTAGAATAATAAGGATAACATATGTTATATATATATAATATATAAAACATATGTTATCCTTATTATTCTAAGTGATATATTATTTGAAAAAATGTTTTTAGTGTTACATTTATACACACACACACACACACACACACATATATATATATATATATATATATATATATATATATATACATACATACATACATACATATATGAGTTCAGTCATTATGTAAGCAGTTAAGGTGTGATATATGACCTTCTGGGGCAAAGTTAAAAAGTAACTAAAAGACCTATTAGGAGGACAGTTTTGACTCACTTTGTCTCAATTTTGCTTGAAAGTCTCGATTTTGTTTGAACGGGATTTCATTGACAGGGATTTGGTGAGGAATAAACCTTATGTGACAGGGCTTCTCAATCCCAGTCCGGATCCCAATCCCGCTATGCATATTTCCCTCAAACTCTCCTCACGTAGACAGATAGACAGCAGACATTTGTGCTGTTAGAGCATGAAAAACACAAAAACTGTGCACAGCATGGAGGTCCCAGCACTGACACTGAGACCCACTGTCTTACGGACGGCCTGAATGAGAGTCTGCCCAACGCGTTTCCGCGCCTGTACAGCAGGTGGCAGTGTGTGACTTCCATTTAACAGAAGCCTTAGTGTACTCAGCTACAGAGCAAGAGGGAAACAAAGGAGATGTTTAGCTAGAAAACCAAGCAAAGATTCAAAATATCGATTATAAAAGCTGAAACTGAGCGGTTTGGAGCGCTGCGGTTCACTGCATTATCACAGTAAGTGATTTCTATGCAGGAGCCAGTTAGTGAGGTGTTTGTCTCTTGTTGTAAGTAACGAACTTTTCCTACTAGCTTAGCTGTTCCTAAGTGTCCTGGGATTGTTTCACTGTTTTCCATACACGTGTCAATTTCCTCTGTACAGATAAACATCATCATGTCTGGAGACCTGGATCTCTCCCCTCCAGAGGTTCCCGAGCCCACCCTTTTCGAGAATCTCCTACGCTATGGCCTTTTTCTTGGAGCTATTTTCCAGCTCGTCTGCATTTTAGCCATAATTATACCCACATCCAAAAGCCATGAACAGGTAAGATCAGCAGAACAGCCTGTATTTGATACTAGTGTTTATATCATGCATTATATTGTCAATTTTATCAGCGCCACTTACTATATTGGAGCACTGTGTAGTTCTACAATTACAGACTGCAGTCCATCTGTTTCTCTGCATACTTTGTTAGCCCCCTTTTACCCTGTTCTTCAATGGTCAGGACCCCCACAGAGCAGGTATTATTTGGGTGCTGGAGTTAAGTGTCACTGCTGGACTGAGAATAGTCCACCAAACAAAAATATCCAGCCAAGAGCGTTCTGTGATCAAGGACTCAAGGATGACCAACAAACTGTGCAGCAGCAGATGAGATATCGTCTCTGACTTTAGATTTACAAGGTGGACCAACAAGGCAGGAGTGTCTAATAGAGTGGACAGTGAGTGGACACAGTGTTTAAAAACTCCAGCAGCACTGCTGTGTCTGATCCACTACCAGCACAACACACACTAACACAGCACCACCACATCAGTGTTACTGCAGTGCTGAGAATGATCCACCACCCAAATAGTACCTGCTCTGTGAGGGTCCATGGGGGTCCTGACTACTGAAGAACAGGGTAAAAGGGGGCTAACAAAGTATGCAGAGAAACAGATGGTCTACAGTCTGTAATTGTAGAACTACAGAGTGCTTCTGTATGGTAAACAAAGCTGATAAAATGGACAGGGAGTGAACCAAGGAGGTTTTAATGTTATGGCTGATTGGCTGACCTGTGTGTTTATGTATATCTATCAATCTTTGTTAGTTTTATGGTAGATAATAAAATGTTTCTCAGACTCTGATTGAGCCCAGATTAGACAGAGTCTAATGACTAATCTGTTTTGAATCTAACAAAGACTATTAAGTTACATACATAAATATTAAACATTCATGTATTTATTATGCAGTATCTACAGTAGAATAGTATGTATAGACTACCAGTGTTTGTCACGCAATATAAACATGGTTTCCCAACTTTCCCAGCTTAAGGGCTGATTGATTAAATTGTGAAGAACCTTTGGCATTAAAAATTGTCCAGAACTTAAAGTTACATGGTCTAGACCACACTATTAGCAAATTCATTGTGTGTTGTACCAAGTATGGATTCATTCTGTAACTTTTAACAATAGTGGAACCTTTTTGGTAACATATAGAACCATTTTTAAAAAGGTTCCTTATAGAACCATATACACCAAGGTTTTCCAACATAGCAAAGAACCATTTAAACATTCATATGATTCTTTTAGTGTTTACGGTTCTATCTTTAACCACTGCAATTACTAAAGAAGCTTCTAAGAACAATTTTTTAAGGGTTCAGCACTGAGGATGTTTGGTTTGGTCCTCCAGAAAGGCACCCTGACCCCAGCTCCTTACACAAAAGCAAAACATATGTCTATGCAATGTGTTATTTATCAAATGCTTATTTACCTTTTAAAATATTTTTTTAAGTATTTTTGCAAGAAAATATAGTGTAATATTATAAAAGACACTTTTTAAAAACTCAGCTACCCAGTTTATTTGTATATTGTTTTGTCTTTTTGGACCTAGGCCCACCACAAGCAGGGCACTTTTGCCCCAGTACAAAAAGCTTAAGCACCTCTGATCTAGACTAATCTGTTATGGATCTAATTTGACTACTGAGATACGTTCTTCGTTGTTTTTTACAGGAAGAGACTGCAGAGCCATCTGACACCAAAGGTTCTGAGCAGAGCAAAAAGCCAAAGGCAGCTATACAGCAGATGCGACAGAAACCAAAAAAGGAGAGCAAGAAGAAGCGATAAGGTTCTCGAGTTTGGATATGAGTGTGCCAGCAAGTGTGAGAGTGAATGTTAGAAGAGTTGTAGGTTGTAGGTGCTGTCACTCCGAAACCATCATCATGGACTCCCAACACTAAACGCTAAACACTTTCCATGTGAAAAGTCTCATATTTAAAGAAGTGTGCTGGTGGTAGTCATTTACCATAGAACATTTTTTTTTTACATTACTTACAAATCGTCTTACAACACTTACAAATTTACTAGGTCTTTTGGTCTTTTGTAATAGTAGTTTTTTATTTCTATTGTACTATATTGAACCTTTTTTTCCTCTTTTTGTACCTAAATTGTACTCATCGGATATATATATATATATATATATAAACCGATCATAGGCCCATTCCCTTCCATTCCCCTTTAGTAATCTGATCTTGTCTATATATAGCTGTGGAAAGCTTATCTGTAAGTTAATCATTGCCTTCATTGCTCCGCTTTCAGCAACATTTCATTAACTTGTAATACAAGTCCCTCCAATAAGTGACCCTCATAAGAGAGGGACTGTTTGAAAACCGCACATTCTGTAATTACTAAAACACATAGCAGCTGTAATCAGGAAATACTGTACATCATCTTAGGAACACAATATTAATTTTCTAGACTTTCTACAACATTCATGCTGGTTCTCTGTAGTTGTCAGTTTTCTTTCAGTCTACAGGAAACACCGAATATACATTGTAGACACAGTTGTATTTCTTTATTATAGTGAATTTAATATGAATGTACAGTCATAAATACATATTCATAAAAAGAAGACGCTTCATAAGAATTATTAAATGAGAACATCTGTGATATAAAAATATCAGGAGAAAAAAGACTAATAGATTGATATTGCTCAACATTTTGTACTTTCTCTCACAAATTAGAACAGTAATAGGTTTTAAAGGACCAACAAGTAACCTTTTCAGTTAAAATCTAATAAACAGCATCTTTGTATGTTGGCTGAAAAACAAATCTTTTAACAGTAGTTTATACCTGAGGATAAAGGTAATGTGCATTCTCTGACACTTTACTAGTTATTTGACCATCAGTAATAATCATCACTAAAGCATTACAGGACATTACTTACAGCTCCTTTAAAAACCTGGATATGAAATAAAGAACTTTGTACACACATCAAGGCTGAAAGGGTGTCTTCAGAAGATGCTGTGGTTCTTATTGGAAGAAGCTGATTTTCTGCGTCGCCCATCACTGTTCACTGGTGTGGACAGTCAGATCTTTTCTGATCACTTCATTCACTGTGAGAACAGAAGAGAAACTTCATTTTAGGGATGACATATGCAAATGTTTACATACTCTATGGTGAAATAAGGCTGTTCTAGGACCTGCAGAGTTCAAGCTACTGCGTACAGCAAATGAAAATTCCAGAAGGTTAAGATGTTGCTGTGATATACAGGCTTCTGCCAGAGTAGTGAGTGTGAAATGCGCAGTCAGTGGTACTGCAGTACGGGCCCCGCCTAGATGAGAATTGTGCATTAGTTCATCACTAGGGGGCAGTATTGTTCATCATCTGGCAATCTCTAATGCTTTATTTGGCTTTGCTTCCTGTTGTTGAACAAGAGTGGGCTAAAATTGGAAACTTTTCTCCCTCTCCAGTCTAATTTTAGATCAAGGTGGCTGTTACAGGTAGCACTGGGCCTTAAATAGAAGGCAAAGTGCTGCAGTGACACTTCAACTCCTACGATAGTCACCGCAGCATCACTGTAGTGTAGATGAGACAGTGGGACCATCCGACACATCAAATGGTAAACATAATGTCAGTTATTACTCATCATACTTAATGCTGGTTAATAGTCAAGTTGGGATCCCAGTTTATATACTGAACTTCAAATTGAGCAATAAACTCTGATTTCCTTCATTAAACGACCCATATCCTGCATTTTTCTTGTAAGTTTTGCCTGAAGTTCACTTATGATGTTTGAGTGGTTTAATGTAACAAAAACAGTCCTAAATCATTAGTACATAACCAACCTCTCTCTATTCCTGTTGTGATTACTATGGCTTTAAGACTGAGTTATGTAAATGACCTCTGTTCTGATTGGCTGCCATGCATAGTGTGTCTTTCGAAAAGCTGTCCGGGCTAAAACTCCTTATAACTTCAATGGGAGTGGGAAGGAAGACAAACAGGTGGATGTATAAAAATTCCTTGTTTGTTTTTTTGTTTTTTTTTGTGACATCACAAAATCACTGAATTCAAAGCAGGCTTTTCTTCCATTCATAGACTCTGTATACTGATGACCAAACAGGGCCCAGTTTCCCACGAGCATCTTAGTGATGCTTTCAGGAAACCCAGCTCAGTAGACTTTAAAAACTCTTTTGTATAAAAACCTGCAGTTTTCTTTTATATGAGCCCTTTAATTTGCTTAGTGCTCCACCATATGTAAACTAATCAGCCACGCCCAGAACTTTAATGTATTTTTTAAAGTGACTTTTTTCAGTTTGATTAAAGACTATAGTAATTAATTATCAACAAAAACAAAGAAGAAAGGCTGTTTATTCACCAGGGCTTTTGCAATTGAACCTATTCTTGAAAGATCAATAGTCCTCTCAGACCTACTCTGTGTATTGTTACACCAACTGACAGTTCAATATTGAACTAGCATTACCACAGACTATTTAAAGCACTGACCCACATAGTGCATGCTGAAAAGGGGGCCATGCTACAGAACAAATGCATACTGATCTACATTAAGCCATGGGTTCTTCCTTGACATACAAAGAAAAGGTAACAATCAACACCAGGACCAACAACTGTGAAAGTGTGGTATTACAGTGTAGCCAGGTTTGCTTCAGTAAATCACTTCTCATAATGGTTTCTATTAGGATCGATGGATGAATCTTTTTATATTAAAATTGCATTTTGAAAGAGTGCAGTTTTCAAACTGCAAGAGCTGCTGTTGTAATTATAGCCTACACTATCAACAATGTTGTCTTGACTTTTAAACAGGGACATTTAACCAAATAATACTAAGCTCAGAAACTGAGATGACTCAGACCAATAAAAAGCAACTGAACACTGGCATACTACTATTAGCTTTCAAACTTCAAGCCAGAAGAGTGGATATACTGGTCAAAAGAAAACAGGCAATGACCTTAATTTATAGAAAATAATTGCAATTTAAATCACAGTCACAATATTGGTCAGAAAAAAATGTAGCTACATATTTTCTCCAAACTGTTTAACTAGTTTCCTAACTGTCAAAGTGAAATATACACCAGTTCATTCAGCCAGTTCATTAAGTATACCTCCTTATATCTGTACTCTTTATATCATTTGGGTGGTGGTGTGTTAGTGTGTGTTTCGCTGGTATGAGTGGATCAGACACAGCGGTGCTGCTGGAGTGACGCCTCAGTGTCATGGCCACCAACCAAAAATATCCAGCCAACAGCGTCCTGTGACCACTGATGATGGACTAGAGGATGACCAACACAAACTGCAACAACAGATGAGCTTTTGTCTCTGACTTTACATCTACAAGGTGGACCAATTAAGTCGATGCGTTTGATTGAGTGGACAGTGAGTGGACACAGTGTTTAAAAACTCCAGCAGCACTGCTGTTTCTGATCCACTTGTACCAGCACAACACACACTAACACACCACCACCACGTCAGTGTCACTACAGAATGTAGTTAATCCCATAACCAAAAAAAGCTTAAAAGCTGTGAGTTACAGACTTTATGTTGATTGTTGTTTAAACTATGCATATGAACCTCAAGCAAACACTGGTCAGTCCATTTATATTTATTAACTTGAGCTAATTATATGTGGTAAATATAAGTAAGTAGACAACATTACACTACTGTCATATCTGAAACATTAGGCTGTGATTTTTTCATTTAGTAAAGCCTAATGTTGTTGTTTATATAAATATATGTCCGTTAGCGATTAATCACCAACTAACAACAGTCAGTTATCAGTCAAAAGAATCTGCCACACCCCTAATTGTTATCGTTATCACAGATACTCAAGGGTTCACCGTCTGTATCAGTATTAGAAAAAAAGAAAAGTAGTATCATGCCATTTCTATGAAAAGCCTACTCACCATCATCCAGATACGCCTGGTCCAGATTTTCCTGCTTGATTGTGACTCTTGCAGGGCTGCTGGTTCTCTGATGCTCTACAGGCCGACAGGGCTGCTGCTGGCTGTAGTTTTGTGCCGGAGGGGACCTCCCAGCAGCAGGAGCTGCTCTCTGCCCAAAGCCTCTCTGTTGAGTAACGATGGGGCCGAACTCTGACACATCCAGGCCTGTAAAGACAGAGGCCGCAGCTTCGTAGCTATGCCCAGCCATAACGTGCTGGTAGCTGCTGGGTTTGAGGTGAGAGCCTGGGTTAGCACGGATTTGGGACCTAGCATGTACTCCAGGTGCAGAGTGATTCAGTGGAGGCTGGTAGTGGCCAGGGCTGCTGCTGAGGACATCTGCTTGGCTTTGGTAGAGGGCTGAGGGGTGCTGCAGCTGGTACTCTGAGACTGGAGGGTAGAAGGTGGGGCTGGCCCTCGGGGAGACCGAGGCTGCCATGACTGGCATAGCACAGCTGCTTGTAGGGAGCTGGCTGGTGTGGTGGCAGGTCTGCGGAGACACGCTCAAAACCTGTGACATGCTGCAACCAAGCTGCCCGTACTGATACTCGTCAACTGGCTCAGCCTTTATCAACGGCACTGGGAGAAGGGTAAGAATATGACCCGGAGGACAAGGATAAAACTTATGAAAACACGTTAAAAAGACATGTGAGGCTGATCATCATGTTTTGCTTTCTTTAATTTAGAATTAAAGCTGCTAGGCTGGACAGTACTGAAAGTCAATAGTCACTCAAACCCTTTCCAGAAATACCTGCCAAAATCTTCATATATTTGCAAATTACATAAGTAAGCTACATAAACTTGTTTAAATAACAACTTAGTAAAACGACATGGATAGTCATAATTGCATCTGCATATTCATCTGCATAATGTGTTACTTGTCCATATTACTGCACCTTCAAACTCTGGGGGGCTGGATCAGAGGGGCGTTAGCACAGTAATACAAAAGGCTCACTTACTGCGAGAGAGTAGATGTTCCATATCAAATTATGATAAACCTATGAAAATGAGGAGCAGAAACACTCCATCTCAGTCAGCATCACCTGCCACTTTCTGCAAGTACACCATCAGGTTCCTGTTGTACAAGGACTTGCAGGTGGGTCCAGCATCCAACTTACCTGTCTTCACGTGAGTATTCAGGTTCAAACATACACAGTTGAGGCTCATTTGTACAGAAAATGTGATCCTCAAAATCGTAATCGGACAGTGTGATGACTTTCTGAGAGCACTAGCTTAGTTTCTCTACCTACTTTTCGGTGCATCTGTATTGTGAATTCCTTTAGTCTCGTTTTTGGTCATCTTGCACGGAATGATACCAAATTGTTCTCAGAAAAGAACTGATTCTGATTATCCTAAACGACTGTCCTTTCTTTTAGCTACACAGAGAAGATTTTTTTTGTTTTTATAGTTCATAGTAACTCACACTCTGCCCTAAAGCACATTGACTCGGATATAGTTTGAGCAGGTTGAGAGTTTTGGCCATGTATTTACTGAAACAGTTTGGGTGACTATTGACTTTCAATGTTTATTAGCAGTGTTAGCCTAGCAGCTCCAGTTCCGAACTAAAAAAGCAAAATCTGGACATCAAATGTCTTGGCTGATCAGCTGCGTTTTGGAGTAAGTTAAAGTTTTGGGGTAAGTGGAAAACAATGTTAATTTGATTTTGTGCTCAATTTCCACCTTACCTCCAACGCAATCGACCAGCCAAGTGTGATGTCCGAAGTTTTTTAGTTTTGCACTGGAAAGGCTACGAGGCTAATGTGGCTAACAGAAGTAATGGAAACTTATAACCCACCAGTCAGCACTGTGCAAACTGCATGATTAAATCATCACACACTTGCCTCCAGTTGTGTTGTAATGTAATCTCAAATTTACTTATGCTTATGTGGTCTCTGACACTTTATCAGACATGCTCTGATCTATGAACAAGACAGAAAACATACAGACAAAACTGAGGCTTCAAAATGGTCGCTACTGGTGTTTTTAGCCATACAAGACACTTTTATCCATTTTTATGGGTAACAACAGTAGTGGACGAAGTACACAACTCCTGAACTTGAAGTAGAGATACTCTTGGTAAGATATTACTTAAGTAAAAGTAGAAGCCTTCTTTCTATATTTCTACTTGAGTAAAATACAAAAGTACCTGCAGTTAAGCATCAAAAGGGAAAGTAATGTGAGTTATTCTAGGCATTATATTATTTTTATCTATTAAGACCTGTATGGTTGCAGAAAAAAAAAACTTTTACATAATCAGAAATAAGTTACATCGGCACAGTGTAAATAACTCACTACTCTTCTGTTGCTCATGCATGCTGGTGGAGAACAATGAAGGCAGCCTAATAGCACTAAAGGACAAATGCAGAGACAAACGCACAAATATCAGATGAAAAGGAAGAAGCCTCTTCATATTTTTAACGGTGCTAACACGGTCTTCCACACTATTTATTCTAGATCTTCTCCTTTTGTGTCTTGGGTCAAATTTCCCTCCCTCCTCCAAATGCTTAGAATATCAGTGGATATCCGATTTTTAAAAAAAATTCCACCCACAGAACGCCAAGGCATATGGTTAAATTCTGAAAACTTCTCAGATGTGCCTGGGGCCTACGACTGGACAATTTGTATTAGGGGGCAGGGTTTAGTGAAAGGTGCGCTATGATTGGTTTGCTTCGATTTGAAAGTGCATCATATTAAAACGTTTTTTTCTCACTTCAGAGTAACGAGTAACGACACATTCGAGCAGAAAGTAGTGAAATGAAAACGAGGATGTTTCACTTTGAAATGTAGTGGAATGAAAGTAAAAGTATCGAAAATGGAAAAAAAGCATGTCGAAAAGAAGATTTTTAAGTATATTATGTAGAGGTACTTTGTTACTCTCCACCACTGATTAACAGTATGTCATACTGCGACAGAAATCATACTAGCAAATCTTTTTAAAATGACTTAACAACACAACTTGTGGCTAGTGTGTGATGATTTAGATCTTAGCAGTTTGCACAATGCTAAGTGGTGTGGAATAAGCTTCCCATTACTTGTTCGCTACATGAGCCCGGACGAAACCCACAATATGCTTAGAAAAGCAAACTGCATCATGAAAACAAAATTAATCACAATAACGATAAAATATTATCCTGTTGCCAACCTATATTTGGAGATAACATGTTTTTTGGACATTACAATAAGTCACTTTAAATATGTTTTCATGTTCTTTCATGTCTGGAACCCACTGCACTTTTAAACAGAGCTGGATTTCCCAAAAGCATCTAAGCACAGTAATGATTCTTAAATGACAGAGTGAGCTTCACATGAAACACTCTCTCTGTGATCTAAGATGCTTTTGGGAAACCAGGCCCAGGAAAATAAAAACTCTTGTCTCTCTTTCTCTTTTTTGGCTTGCCTAAAATATAGCTGTTCCCTCAGGTCTGCTCTTTTATGGAACAGTTCCACCTTCTCTATTACAAAAAGATGTTCATCACTTGATTCTCATTCTTTTGGCCTTATTATTTGCCCTGCAGTGCCCTGCTCTGTGTCTAGGTCATAGTGGAAAGCAGACAGTCACCTGCGAGAGGCATGTAGGTGAAATGCTGCGGCTGACTGTGCTTCTTCTTCCCGTTTAGCACATAGAAGTTGACTTTGGCTGGGTGGTGGATGTTGAGGTCTTGATATGGAGGAATTTCCACATATAGCATATTCTGAGAGGGACACAATAACTGCTTAGCTCCAAACAATAAGTTTATTCACAATAATGTCTGTTTCATCCAGCCACATATTGTATTGAATACTTACAGTTTGGCTTTTTTCCCTGTCAACTGTTGCTTCTGCCTTCCATACTTCCAAGCCATCTGCAGGAACCAAACAATAATTTGAAAGTAATCAAGGCTTTATGAAAGGCCTTTTGATTTAAAGGACTTGTTGAATAACTAATTCAAATGAGTCTTTAACACTAATCTGGCCACTTTATTATTACTTTCCACTGTTTCTCTTGTTCTACAAATAACCTGTTCACATTTCACACCAATAAACTCTTTCAGCATCTGATTGTATTGTTCGGTGCCACAACAAACTTGACTCCCACTGCATCCTTTCCATGACTCTGGTGCGTAGGCAAAGTCAGCAGAGAGTCCCTTTCATGTGCGGTGAGTGAAGCTCCCCCTCCCCTCGCACCTCTGTTTGGCTGCCTACGCACTCCGTGTAGAGGAAAGGAAAGAGAAGACTCTGCTTGTAGATCGTATCGCTGCTTATACCTAACCACATCCTTTAGCACCACACTGCACACCTCAATGGAAAATGGCGCTGAAACATATTCACCAACCAGTAACAAACTACGTGGCATCTCAGTAATATGCCAATGCCATTTTTTACAGCTGAACTGTGTTTGTGGTTTAAATTAACCCAACGGTTGACCTGGTGTTAACTGGAGTGAACTGTACATCCGTTTTGTTTGTGTAATTTCTCTTTGTGTAAGTTTAAGTAATGGTCTTTGCTAAATACTCAACTGTGCTTAAACAAAAGCTACTCAAAATAGTTTTTCTAAGGTGGTTGACAATTATAAATCGATGCAAGTAAAGCAAGGTGGGGTTTAAAATTGTCAAGTGTTGAGAGTGAACTGTCTTGAACCGAGCAAGAAAATTTAAATTAGTTTTACTAACTTTGTACTCAAGTATAGTTGTATAGTTTTACTAAGTATGATACTCTGGCCTTAAAGGGGAATTACACCTTTTTTTCAAAATTTCTGTACAATTTACTGTTTGAGAAGTCATTCATTCATTGTTTGTCAAGATAAGCTTACAGAATCAGAATTGTTTACAGTGGTGGTGGTAGGAAGTTTGATGCCTCTAAAAGCTTCCTTCTCAGAACAATATTACGTGAAATCATTATGAGTATGCTGCTTGATATCTGAGACACTTTTTGACATTGATAGCAGGGTGCTGTAAAGAAAATTAGTACCCAAAGAAAACAAGTTACTACTGTTTTATCATTATCAACATAACATAAAACCTCAAAAGATGTGTGGGTTTTGGATAGTACAGAAAAAGGTTGTAAACGTTGATGTTGTAGACATTGTGACCCCTGGCTCCTATCACTTGTACTGTAAAGAAATCTAAGTCAAAAAGTTTCTCAACAATTAACCATTTCACATCAAACCACTCTGAATGACTTTGTTTACATCTTAACCATTTAATTATGTAGAAAAAAATAGTGGAATCTCCCTTAATTTTGTGCAAATGAAAATCTGTAAAGGAAGAGCTCACATTTGAATTGCTTAAATGCATGATTCAGATTTTAATTTTGGGATGACAATGTAAGCTCACCTTTTTAACTACAGCGTGTGGGTGTTGCCTCTGAGGTCTGTCGACTTTCTCTGTAAACACTGACAAAGTGACGTGTGGTGAGTCTCTCTGTGTGCGTGTATGTTGCTGCTTTGCAAGCCTGTTATCTGTCTGTTTCCCGTTCTTACGCTGCTGCACCAGAAGTGCATTGACCAAAGCAGACTACGGTGTACAATGCAAACCCACAGGCTGGCTCCAACCTGATATGCAAATGATGTGAATACAACTCCAAAACAAATTACATGCTAATGTTCACTACATGCAGAGGACAATGTCCTGGGGGCTTAAAGTATTAAAACAGAGCTGGTAGTGATGATGGGAGATAAAGTTAACAGGGAGGTTGCTTGTGGTCGTGTTGAGGGTTCGTCATAGCTGGGGCTGAATGATTTTGGCCAAATATCTAATTGCGATTTTTGCGTCCAATAATGCAGTAGTGACTTAAATTCTGATTATTTTTCATAAGAAGGCCAAGCAAGAAGACATTTCATTTTTTGGCTTGAGGCTTGAACGGTGGACAACACTGCGTCAGACTGCCCGTTAGTTGTTATTATATTGTTACGTACGCAGCGCATGGACGTTTATTTGCTTCTGATTGGTCTGACTTGTGTAATTAATGTACAGGCAGTTCACAAACATGTTCCCAGTTTACACTTTACCCACTTTAAATTTGTTAAGACAACATTGTTGATAATGTAGACTGTAATAAAAAATGCAGCTCTTGTGATTTGGAAATAGCATTCTTTCAATCTGCAATTTCAATATTAAACCGATTAATCTTTCAGCCCTCGTCCTAGCTCATCCACCCCACCCACCTTGGGTTTTTTCAGTGAAGAGAACCCTCGACTCAGAGGTGAAGTTTTGTCCTGTTAGGATCATCTGCATACCGCCCAGCACCGAGCAGCAATCCACATCTTGTCTCTCCACAGCCGGAAGCTCGTGGGCGGACCTCTGAGCTGCAACATACAGAACAGAACCAATACAGAACAGTCACCTCCTACTGCAACCATACAAATTAGCCTTCCAAATAAAACCTCATTTAGCTCAAAGGGACAGTTCAGTCTAAAAGTGCACACATTCAAAGTTAGTATGATGTCATGCTAATTAACTAGCGGCGAGAATATCTAAGCACCTCACCGTTCAATTGAAATTCAATTTATGGAGCCGGGATGCTATTATAAAACGATTCTTGATGCATCTTTTGATTTTTATGAGATTTTTTATTTCCTGTTTATTAATGAGTATTGTTAGCTTGCACACGTGTTAAGTCTACAGGCCTACCATCCAATGAGTTTAACTAAAATCTAAGAAATGAAACAAAACAAACATCAAGGAAGATATTTTTACTATATTGCAGGTTTACTAATCTGTGCATTTCTTAAGTCTCGTTTCACTCTCTAAACCAAGTCAGTTTTTATTTGAAATGCTGCAAATTTTCCTCTCACTCTGGGAAACCCCTGGCATATTTTTAACTTTTTACTTCATAACCACAAACATTTGTGTCTGTAAACGTGCACATTAGTGAGATCCTGCATTTTTTTCTCCTTAAAGCAAGGCTGTTCCAAAGATCTCACTTTATAAAGTCTCTAGATGCACACAAGTTTATTTTACTTAAAAAAGTAACCTGGCTAACCTTAATATTTTCAGTTTATTGAACTTTAAATAATATGAATTAATATTAGAATTTCAATGAACTCAACTGTTTCAGTTAACCAGGTTAGTTAAAAAGTTTTTTTACAGTGTAGGGAATTTCAGAGCCAATATAAAAATGTGACATTTTGTGAATTGATTGAGAATGTTTTAAAAGAGAGAATCATGGTGCATCTTAGGCTGTTTTCACAGCTAGTTAATTTGTTAAAATCCTCATCAGTTTGGGTTTGGGTTTTTGTGACATTGTATCTTTTTCATTTGGTCTGGTTGGTTTCACTTTGTAAAGGATAAAGTGCACCAAATTAATGGGTGTTTGTTAACTGGTTAGAAATTTTGCAGGAGTACAAGCACTCTGTTAATCTTACATATGCTGCCATAAAAATAGGTAAATAGGAAATAGAGATGTTTTTAAGTACATGTGTATCACAATTAAAGACATGACAATAAACCTTACTTGATATCTATTTCTCTTTTTTTTTTTGATTGGTTTGTTAATTTGAATTTAACCAACTAAGTTGCTGATGCTTGGTCAAAAATACATGCACACTGCTTTGCTCCTATTTTACTGCTCATATAACTTCATTAGCAACAGCTCATTCTGCAGGTGCGTCTGCCAAGTGTCAGATGTCAGAACAGGTATGAGGACAGTACAGGCTGATGTTTTGCTGGAGGAATGCATGATCGATACTGAATTCCCTCATTTGGTGCATCATGAAAAAGCATTTCCACCAGCAGCGAACTGAACCAAGGTTCACTTGGAAGTGGACCAGACCACTGTTCAGTTTTTTTTGGCGCAGACCTGAGTTTGAGTGGAGAGTTCATACCTGTCAAAATGTTTACTTGGTCTGCACCAAGCAAAGTAAGTGTGAAAGCACCCTAAGAATAGATTACCTGCCCCATTAATTTAATTCAAATTATGAAGCATTACTTAAAAATGAGAATCCCCAGACATTGGGCACCCATATAAAAACTTACACAGAAATAATGAAAGCTGCCTCGACAGAACTGCACTGGTGAATGGAATTATTTGAATTTATGCAGATGAATGAATGATGGTTGCTACTGACATTCTGACATACTGACTATTTTTTAATTTGTTTTCTATACAGAAATCAGCACAGTTGTCAAGTATGAAAGGTGCCCATCTCCACATATTACATTTCCTCAGAAAAACTAAACTTAATTTAATCTTATGTAATGCAGTCTAATTAGGCAGTGGGAGAAAGTCAGTCTTTAACCAGATTAAGCTATGATTCGATTACTTACAGCATTCAATAGGATGTGAGGCCGCTTGGAGAGAAAGCAACTGACCCCCAGGCTGAGGCACATGGACACGGAAGACCAGGCGTACGCGTGTGTTCTTCCGTCCAACGTCTGTCTCACCTTTCCGCAACTCGATATCAGCGTTCTTCAGCTTCAAAATCCCAGCACAGTCCACTCTGAAAGAACCAAATACGTTACATAATGAAACAGCATGCACATGGACAATAATGTGTAATCTGTCATTCGTAAGTATTTGTTTGTTTATCTATAATAATTTATCAATCAGAGGAAAAAATAATCCAGTTCAACACAAGAAATTAGTAACTAGCTGATGAGACGATTCAGGTGACACTTCTAGTCTAAGTTAATAGCAAATATTAGATATGGGACTATTTTCCTTTACTACAAAAAGTAATTTTTACTTTTCCAAATAAAATGCCTGAGTACAAACATCATCATCATGAAAAGTTTGATGTTAGAGAAGATTAAAAAATTTAAGCAGTGCCTTACATGGCCCGCATGTTGTCCTTGGGTTCTAGCGGCAGTTCCAGAACTTTAGTTCCGTGAATCATTCTTTCGTGGCTGGTGGTGGTGACGGCCTTGCCGGTGATGCGGTGAACCTGGTAGAAGGCGTGCGGTCTCACGGCCCTCTCGTCAGCCGTGCCGATGAAGACCTGCAGAGCCAGAGCTTCTCGTCCCCTGTATCCACGCAACTGCACTCACAACAAACAGCAACCAGAGTTAAAGCTGGGATGTAGTGTGACCAGAGGTGGATAATTCAGGTCCAGAAAGTAAAAATGCTCCCCAGGATTTTGCTCCAGCTCGCTGGACACTTGTTACTCTGCTGGTTTGAGAAGCCAGGCAGTTGGAACAAAATCTTGAGGAGGATTTTCACTTTTTGGCCTGAATTACTCAAGAATTACACATTTTCCCACTTACACCAAATGTAATCATCAGGCAAGACATGTTTTGTGCCTGAATTTGTTTGGCACTGGAGCTACAAGGCAAACGTAGCTAACAAGTCACGGAAGCTAACCAAGCCAACCAACAGTGCATGCCAAATTCATCACACTCTTACCTCAAACCACACTGAACTGTTCAGTAATCTCGAACAGACTTGCTTACGTAGTTTCGGACACTGCATGACAATGTTTTAAAGCCGCAGTAGGAGGCATCTTGAAGCCTGAATTTTCATAGGTTTTATAGTTAACAGTAAGACAAACAGTCTTAGAAACTACAAAGGCGTACAGGGCTTGGGAACGTACATCACTAATTGCTGAATCATGGGATCATTCCACCATGGTGGCAGGGCACGTTCTTGGTTTACATGCCACAAATACTCACGATGCGCTTAAAGTAATTGCTGTTTTATCGGTTTTTTTTTAGGCTTATTGATTTTTTTCATGCATTATATTGAATCAAATGAAAAGGGAGTGTATCTTAACCAAATCCAGAGGGAAGACAAACTATTTAATGATAGCATTAGCCTTATTGATCGCCTGGATCCACAAAAACCCCCAAACACTGAGCCGAGTAATGATCTGGACATGCTAATGTTACCTCCTCCTCCATTTACAGACCTATCCCAGATGACGTGTTGTCCTAGTGCCTGTTCTTTGAATAGGTCCAAATTTAACAAAATTTTAAAGTCATTCGAAGCCCATGTACAGTTTATTAACAGTTATTTCCCTAAGCCACTGGCAGATTTAAGGCAAACTTCATCTTTCACTCAGCCACCGGGATATTACCCAGAGAGGATTCATATACCGCTTGATTTAACTTACTGGGGTATTTCACTCTGTTTTAGCATATTCCATTGTAGGCAGCTTTTTAGTAAACCCTGCTTCCCTGGCTATTTAGCAAATGACAATACTGCTATACTGTACAATGTTAAGCCCAATAAAATCCATATTAGATCATGCAAATCTCACATTTACACTGAAGAAGTAATGAATCTAGTCTTTAAGAGAAACAATTAAACAAACCGCTAACATTACTAGCCCAGTCACAGTTTAGCTCACTTCACTTCGTACTTCATAGCTGGAAAACAGTGCGTTTGGAGAAGTAAAACGTTGTGTGTGTTGATCAGCAGTGATATCACACCTCACCATGATGCTGAGATTTCCTTCTTATCGCCAGCTTCTTATTCCAATTTTCAGTTCCACCTTAAATGGCAGCAGTGACACCATGACACCCATGAGCCATTTGTAGTGTTGAAAATTTTATTCTTTTTAAATCTACATGAGTAGAACTATAAAATAAGCTTGAGCTTGATGCTTATCCACACTCTCACTGTGATGCTTCATGTGTCCTTTTTAACTACAGCTGCATCTGAATTGCTGATTAACTTCCTTTCTGACCAACTGTTTGCTGATTTACTTCCTTTCTAAACTGTTTTCTTGATTTTGCTCTGATCTGTGATCTGTTTGTCACGTAGATCTACATGTTAGTAAGTTCTGCAAACATATTTAGTGAGACCTTAAACTACAGATCAGAAAAATAAACAAATAAAGCAGGTAGAAAAATTAGTGTTTTTCAGATTTTCTAAACCAGCCTAGACTGATGAACCCTGCCACAATGGCCGATCACCCATTGTGTTAAGACCTCACATTCCCAAGCCCTACTGAGCTTATGGCTGTGCTTTAGGGCACATGTAAAACATGAATTTTGATTGGTTATCCCACATTAATTGGCTGTACTAATTGGCTGATGCAGATTATGATGCAGATCTGTGTAACACCATCTTTGGATGTAATTTTAAGAAGGAGCTTTTTGCTTTTTTTTAAAATACAGACTAAATCAGGTTTTTTTTATTATTTCACCACAGCAGCACTAAATGATAAAATGACATTTTTGATCGACAAAAATGTCAGATATAAATTTATAATTCTAAGCCTGCAAAAATCCGGTTTTCTAGACAGGCATTTCTAGTAGATTAGCTCTACATGAACAGTCTGAAATTTGACTACACACAGCATCAACAGAGGTCTCTTTATCATTTGCAGGAAACAAGTCCATAAAGGACTGAAGATAACGTCTAAAACTTGGTACAAAAAAAACTCTTCAACTGCAGCTACACTGATGTCAAAAGTTTGGAGATATCTAGATTTACAACACAAAATTGGCAGTGCATGTTCTCTTTGCTGACGTTTTAATACAAATGCGCATGTTCTCTTTGTTGGTTTGCGGTACTTTAACATATTAAATAAACAGACCACATAAATTATCCTCTTGCAGAGTCAACACTCATCAGCACTCAAACCTTTCAGGTGCTGAAACCACCTTTGGGTCAAAATAGTTTCAGTATTACGGGTAGGACCCTCTAAGCAACCTCACAATTTGATTCAGTTTCAAATTTGATTCAGGGTGCCAATATTATATAATATTCAAATATTCTCTATGCATTTTTACTTTTAATTTTTATAGCCTACAGTATGGTTTTCTCCTGTATTGTCATGAACGAGTAGTGTTAGCTGAGTTGAATTTGAATGTAGCCTAAAGCTGCACTTGTCAAGTCTTGTTTCACCATTTAATCCAATGACATTTTTATTATATCTTTGTTTTGTTTTATTATATCTTTTGTTTGTTAAAATTACATAACATCATAATGTTATTTTTTATCAGAAATGTTTTATCAGTAACATCAACTGTTTAATGAAAATATTTACATTTTTCAAGAAGTATTTCACATCTTAACATCTCATTTTAAAAGATGTTACGGCAAACGCATGCATTCCTGCTGGTGTGGGTTCATGGCTGTTTCTTCTCTTTAAATGACATACTCAAAAGCGATTGTGTGCTAATAGCGCCCCCTTGTGAAGAAATGACAGACTGTTAAACGTAGGCAAGTAAATGAGTTCCAAACCCACATCTTTATGCTTTAAAAAAGGAGCTGTTTTCTGTTGTTAAAATGAAGGTGCTGTGGAATTTAAATGCCTGTGGAAAGTGACGGAGTATTATTTTTTCATAAGTTTATAACTCACTAGAACCGTCAGGACACTTAAGCTGTACTGGGAAACTCCTAGCATATTTATTAATTTGCATGTATTATCTTTGAATGTGTAGGATTATGTTACAGTTAATGTTTATATTTATATCAATTTTCACTTTGGAATGGCTTACAAAGATTTTCAGTACTGATCTTAAAAAAATAGTCTGAGGCCCTGGAGATCTCACATTTTTCCTCCTGCAAACTAAGCTATGCCTACATTATAAAATTTCTGTCTGCATGTGAGTTTATTTTTGTTATTAAAATCCAATTTTTGTGAATTCATTCAAAATCTTGAAAGAACGACATAAATTTTCAATGAAAGAGATAATCGTGATGAATCTAAGTATGAACACAGCTTTTAACAAAAACTTTGAATATTTTTACCTTTTTTAATTTAAGTACCATCCACATTCACATTTGAAATGAAAGTAAAGTGTACCCAAACTTTTGACAGGCAGCGTAAATTCCAAGTATCCTAAAATATTAAATTCTGTAGATCTGTGAGACTCAGCTAAACCCAAGTTACTATAGGTACTGCTGATGTAGGAACGACTCTGCGAGTCTAGTGAGGGTTAACTCAATCAGTAGTGAGAGACAATGGATTGACACTGTGGGCAAAAACACCAAGCTTCATTTCCATAGACCAGAACACCACAGCTTACTGGATAACAGAGAGTTACTGTCACTGCAAACACGCACACTCCCCACAAATATATACACACAAACACACTGACAAACTTCTCTTCTTCTCTCTGCTGCTTAGTTATTAATCAATAATCCTTACACTTTCAAACCCCACCACAACTTTCTATCCAGACACTTTCTGCGAAATGTCCAAAGCCATCATCAACTTCACGTACACATTTGCATTTACATACACAGTCTACCAAGGGTGGGCAATATAGCAAACCGGTTTCATGATACAAGATCTGTATGAGAAAATGTTTTTTTCTGATATATGAGCAAATTCTCTGACATCTTTTGTACATAAATAATTAAGTGATAATTACTTATTTTTTTTTATAATTAGCTGTTTTTAATATTTGTTGTTGTTGTTGTTTGAAATGCTTGGTTGAAAATTCAAGTGTACTTTTGTGAAAAAATGAATGACAAGTTGTAAGATAGTATGAGTTCTTAGCAGTTTCCCTGCTTTCTGTTTATTAGTTCATATTTTTCTTTAAGATGTTGTTTTCACATTAATTACATTTTGACATATGTTTTATATAGGTTATATATATATGTTTTGTGCCTCTATTTAGTAGTCAGTTCTAGCAAAGCAACTTAAGTTGCCTTTTTAAAGGTTCATGTAAGAGCATGTAACTCTAAAGACTCTTAACAGAAGAGAATTTTGTCTGAATTTATGGTCATTACAGTTGTATACACAAACAGCACTTTAGCAAAGTGTAAAATAATTGGAATTGAAATCAACAAAATATACAAAACTTTACATAATCAGTGCTTTAAACAATCAAATATGATGAGATATGTAGTCATTACTCTAATTAATAACTCAAGCTACTATAGTTTCAGTGATAACTATTTAGACTTTGTTAAACTTGCATGCATTCAAAACAATAAATGATTACAAATCTGAGTTTCAAACCTGAATTTGGCAATAAATTTCCTTCAATTCTAATTTCCTTGAAGTGTTTTTTATTCTAAATAGTTCGAGTAAACTGAACTTATCAGGGTTAACAGTGTTGTTATTATGCACTTCATGCAGTTACTGTACACCGGTTGTTGTGTACAGGTTTTCTGTAATTGCTCTAAGTCTGTCTTGTTTATGATACGGATATGTGCAGTACTGAGGATGCCCACGCTCTACTCAGAAAAAAAATGACGTAATTTATCACAATCATGATAACATATCGCCACCCCCCCAGTCTACTTCCCCACAACACAGACATGTTTTCTGTACCTGAACCACAGGATGGCCTCCTGGAGGTGTTGGCGCCTTAACAGCCCCTCTGCTACCCTCCGTCTCATAGTGGGCTCGGTGGTGCTGTTTGGGCTGCACCTCTATACTCAGCTCATGCTCATCGTTGCTGCTGGGCAGAGGCCACTCCAGAGGAGGCAGGGTCACACTGACAACCAAAAAAGAGAGGACAGTTACAGTTCATAAACATCCCAAATTAAAAAGTTAGACTGAGTGGTGGGATATAACTGCAGTTTTTAGTGCTGAAAGTACATATATGTCCATTCAAAAATAGGTTCATTGACTGGTTAATACAGGTGTAAGGCTTCAAAATGATTCGAAAGGTTTTAAATTTAAAATTTTGCCATGATTTAATTTAATTACTTCGATAAAGTTGGGAATTATTTCAATAAATGCACTAAATACACAAATGTATCTATCTACACAATAGTGATACACAGACGATATGTATTTTTAATGAAGTTATTTTTACGTTTTAGTATATGTAAATAATTTTTAGGCCAGTTATCTGCAGATACCGATATAATTCTAATATGATTGTACATCCGTAATCATTATATTCAATGTATTATGATTAGGGATGTACGATAAAATCGGTACCTGCAGATAATTGCCGCCATTGGACAAATGATTAGATCTGACAGGTATTTCAAACCGAATATGATGATGTATTTACTGTACTCCAGAATGTTTAGGTGACACTGTGCTAAAATATTTCCATATTATTCATTTTACTGCATTTGTAACCCTACAGAAATACATTTTATGTCTTTCTATAATGCTAATCCAGCTAGCTGTAGTCCCAAGTTCTATATTTCATATATGTTTATGTATCTGCATCAGCAGATGCTGCACTTGAAAAATACTGGATGTCAGCATCGGCCCATGATTCTCATCCCTGATTACTATAATCAATTGTAACTATAACAGTCTCGCAAATTGATGCAGTTGAATCACCACCTTAAAACTGGTGCATTTTTACACCCCTAACATCAGGTGATTTACCCGCACATCCCCGAGGGCAGCTGATTAGGCCAGGTGAGGGATGGTATGACATAGAGAGGCTCCATTATAGGTTCCCTCTTCACTTCTTGAATGGTCGAGAAGACGGCATCCGACTGGCTGTAGATCGAGAACTCCTGATTAGGTCGTATAATCTTGGTGGGAACGGGTTTGGTCAGGTTTCTGTTAGGGCTGTCAACAAACTCTTCCAGGTTAACCAGAGGGCCGTAGGGCTCTGGTTGCTCTTCTCTCCCAGCATGGGGAGAGGGGCTTCGAGAGCGCGGGGGCACCAGGCTGGGGTTTTGGTACTGATCGTAGGTGCGTTTAATCTGTGGAGAAGGTGAGCGTGAGCCTGGCCGTGAAGAAGACTGCCTGCAGTTCAGGAACGTCTCCTCCGTGATGCTGGTACGTGGAGACGTGGTTGGTGAAGTACGGGGTGATCCAGACGCGTGGATAGCCTGGAGTCTTGGGCAAAGATCGGCCACTGTCACCGCAGCTAGAACGCCGCCGCCCCCACCACTAGGTGAAATGCAGGGCGAGGGCACGGGAGAACAGACCTCTGACTGCCAGCTGGTGGAGGAGTTGCTGCTGGCCGGACTCAGGTTCTCTCTGTACAGGGTGTTCTGATAAGGAGGAACAGTGAGCCGTCGGTTGATGTCCACAGGCGCCGTTTGGACATGGTCACGGTGGTGATGGTGCAGATCAGGGCAGGTGATCTCAATCCTGGGGCTGGAGGCTGGAGGAGCTCCAGAGTGGGACGAGAGCGAGTGGCCAAGAAGGTCTCTCAAATTGGCATGATGGCAAGTGAGAAGGTCCTCAGAAGTTGGGTGATGGTAGGAAGGCTGATTGAGGGACAGGTCGCTGTATGGAACATGGCCCTCATTGGTGCAGGTTGAAGATGGATTGGCATCGAGGTGTGACGGACCATCAAGGTCATCTGCTGACGAGCACAGAAGTGGACATGGGTTAGTGTTGAGGGGAAGAACAGAAGAACATTCTAGACGTTTCTTCAAGTGGTTAAGAAAAACTATGAGCACGCCATTTTAGTGTGGAAACGGAAACCCTCACTGCTCAGTTTTATGGCAATGCAAATGACTTTTCATGCCGTCTACGAAGAACAAACAACAAAAATACATTCTGAGCAGAAAGGTTTCTAAGCAGTATCAAAACAGTGCCACAATAGCTGAAATTTTTGTGTGCTATACATAGCCAATTTTTTAAAGGGAGCTTAGAGGAGCACCACTGAACCGTGCAAAGAACCAGTTATGCATGGTTCTTTGTGGTATTATGGTTCTAGCCAATATATAACCACAAATAACCTTTGAACAACCATTTTTAGAGTGGGAACTTTTCAAGACACTTAAGTAATATCCTGAAACTTAGTGTCTAAATTCAACCATATATTCACTCTAAGAAGTTCTTTTGTGGTTTAACACAGTTATAGAACATTAATACTCTGTCAATGATAATACATTTAAAATACAATTACAAAAAAAAAGTTAAAATACAGTGCAATATGGAAATACAGGCACCACAAGGCACATATTGAATAACATAACCTGCAGCAAAATTGGGACCTGTAGGCAATGTTTTAACAAACTGGCCTCTGGCAAGTAACTTCTAGTGCCCATTAACTGACCTTGGTCATCCTGTGGAAGGTCATTTCCAGCTTGGTTGTACAGGAAAAGAGGAAAAGGAAAGTCCATCTCATCTTGTCCGTTCCCCGCGGTGAACGCGGCATCACTGCTTGGATAGTTAGTATTCATTTGAGGACGTCTTCTCACCTCCTCACAGATATCCTCAAAAATGTGCTCCAAAAGTTCACAAAAGGAGAAAGAAAGAAGGTACAGACTAAATAAATAAGCGAGGTCTGGCGGAAGGGTTTGCTGGTGAGAGTTAGACGCGTTTTCTCACGGTGTCTGACTGACTAACCGTCCTCCAGCTGAAGCGTCGACTGAGTGAGCTCGCGACGAGCGCGCGAGATGAGCACAGAGAAGCACGCGGGGACTTCCTGTTTAAAAAGAAACTCCTCCAAAAAGCTTGCGGTGAAGTTTCTCACAGTGCACAGGTGACTGACACTGACACCGACAGCGCCAGACTGCACAGCACTTCTCTGCTGAAAAGGGGCCATTAGAAACCAGGATTAAAACCTAATGGTTTCCGGTAGACACGCTAGTTCCCCTTTGAACACTTTCAGATCCCATTAGGAAACCATCAAATGCATTTAGAATCAGTCTCTGGTCACCCGTTAAACCATTAGCATCCTTTACATTGTGATATCAACCCATTAAAAAAACAAAAGCATTACAAAACCATCAGGAACCAACAACAACACTTAATGGTGTCTATGGGTGTTTTCAGCAGGGCTGTTATATTTTGGGAAAAAGTAAACAAACAAAAAAATCTTAATTAGGGAAGAAATAATCTCATATGGAATAAAATTGTACATATATTTGCAATCCCTGCTGAAAAAAACCCCAAATAAGTTTCTATTGGTTTCTGGTGGTGTCCAGTGCTCACTAATGGAATTCTCTATTTTCCAGATTGGATATCACAGTGTAAAGGAATCTAATTGTTTAACAGGTGTCCTGATTCCAGATGCATTTGATGGTTTCCAAATGGGATCTAAAGGTGTCCTACAGGAAGCTAATGACCTCTAATAGCAACCATTAAGCCAATTCCTATTACATAGCTGAAGCATCAGGTTTTAATCCGAATAGTTCTAATGGTCTATTTTGTCAGCAGATATATGTGATGTTTCAAATTATATGTGCTAAATATATTAACTGTGCCATTTTTAAAATATTTACATGTAGGCCGGTATATGCACATATATGACTATATAGTGGAATATATCTTATAGTGTTAATATATATGATACACATATCGCTGTTGTCAGAAGAAAACCTCATATCTCCAAAATAGTAACTTTACCGGAGAAAGAAAAAACCTACTTTACTTTTTAAGTCAAGGGAACCAGAATTTTTTCTAAGTGATTTTGGACTGTTTCTTTCAGTCATACAATGTAAAGGACAACAGGCATTTTCAAATTATGACAAAAACTGAAAAATGACAAAAATGGAGATACAAGGTTTTCTTCCGACAGCAGCGATATATGGCAATATGGTACAAATTTCACTTATATTTTGAAAAATATACAGAAATATATTCCCTTTCTATAAGGGATTTAAAAGGGAACTCCACTGATTTTAAAATCTCTAAATAACCTTCTCATAGAGATGTAAACAGTCATTCATGGTGGTTTGAAGTGAAATGACGCCCTGTGGAGAAACTTACTGATTCAGATTTCTCTACAGTGTTGCTGATAGGAACCAGGGGTCACAATGTCTACAACTCGTTATTTCACCTTTAAGGGGAATTCCACCAATTTTTCTAAATTTTTGCTCTCCATCATTGTAGTGTAAGCAAAGTCAATCAGAGATGTTTATTGTGAAATTGTAGAGAAAGTTACAGACTCAGGTTTCTTTACAGTGGTGGTGATAGGACACAACGCACAACAACACAAATATAGCCATTTTTTTTTACTATCCAAAACCACCAGTGAACCTACACGTATCTTCAGAGTTTCTATATGTAATGTTGATAATGGTAAAATAGTGGTGAATCTGATCAAACCACTCTGACTGATTTTGTTTGCATATACATATTTGGATTGTGCAGAAATTGTGAATGGAATTTACCCTTAATGTTTAACTTTAAACTGCACAGAACCGCTGGTGATTCCAGACTTCTATTCCTCACTCATATAACTTAGAGAGGAACTCCAGCGATTTCTCAAAAATCCTATATAATTGAAAGTTTAAGATGTAAACAAAGTCATTCAGAGTGGTTTGGTATGAAATGCTCTGTTCTCTGTTACAGTGGTGGTGATAGGAACCAGACGTCTGAAGAGTTTAATGCCTCTGAAAGCTCCCTCACAGAATTGTTACATGAAACGGTTAGACATATTGCTGCCTGATGCCTGAGACATTGTTTTATGATAGTTTTGTGATAAAGTTTGGGCTTAAAATGTATTTTAATTCATTCAATTTAATCCATTCATGGTGGAGGGATACATGCAGGGCTTCGTAAAGCAAAATAGTCCCCAAAGAACACTTTTTTTATTTAGATTTCTAACTGTTTTCCCATCATCAACATTCTCCTTTACAAATAACTCAGCCAGTCTGCATGTTTTTCATGTACTTACTGAATAACAGTCCTCAGAATTTAAGAAATGTCTTAAATTTAAGGCACTGAAAAGTGCAGTGCTGCTGCAGCAGCTCAGAATGTAAAAGCTCACTCAGCAGAAATGAAATAATCTGATGAAAAGAGTTTTATAAACTTCATTATCCACACCAAATTTCCAGAAGAGGGCGCCATTGCATTGCCCCCTGTTTCCAGTTCCAAATTAGCGACCCTCAGGTAAAGGGCGTCACTGCTGCTGATGATAATGGATTTTACTATCTGTGATCTATATTTTTAACGCACATTAAAGCGGTTGAATTGTGTGGGAAGTTCTGAAATGCAGGCAGGTGTGAATGACGCAGACGGCGGCCTTTTGTTTTCGGGATGACTATCTGCCATTTGCGTCTGCTCCTCAAGTAGCTGTCCTTCACTCTTGAAGAGTCTGACAGAGATGTGGAATGTCTTTTAATCACAGCACCACCTGCTGGTCTGACTTGGTGTCTTGAAGTATTCTTGCAGAAAGTCAAGGGCTACATTTTGCAATGAGTATTCACCATTTTCTTGCCATCCTGATTAGGTTAAGTACATATAAATTTATATATATATATATATATATATATATGTATATATATATGTGTGTGTGCTTAACCTAATCATCTATGTCCCAAAGCATCCAAACACCCCCTTTTTACAACTGCTTTTATAAGCTCTATAGAAAAGCATTGCATAGAGTGCAACACTCTGGAGCAGCTGTGCCTGAGCCTAAGGTCACCATGCCCAGTGCCAAACATCAGCTAGAGGAGTATAAAGACCTCCAGCTTAGGGCTGTGGAACAATTGAACTGCAATCTCTAGAGCGATGGAGCTCCATCCAACACTGATTTTTCAAAATCTCTAAATAACTAAATAATCCAGTTGTAAACAAAGCCGTTCAGAGTGGTTTGAAGTGAAATCATGCACTATGGAGAAACTTGCTAATTAGATTTTGTCTATGATGCTGCTGAAAGGAACCAGGGGTTTGTGATGAGTAGAAGTGATCCAGAACTCATCAGTATCTGACCTCACTAATGCTCTTGTGACTGAATGTAATCAAATCCTCACAGCAATGTTTTACCTTCTAGTGTAAAGCCTTCCCAGAAGAGTAGAGGCTGTTACAGCAGCAAAGGGCGCAAACTCCCTATGAATACCCTTGATTTCAGAAGAAATGTTGGACGAACTGCTGTCTACAAACTTCTGAATGTATAATGTAGGCCAGAGCCAGCAGTTTCCAACAGTAGTCAGCTACAGAGACTCACCTGCACTGCCCTGTTTTGTGTTTGTCTTCTCAGATATTTCCTAGACTAGTTAGAAAGTTAACTTTAACCGAAAGCCCAGTTCCACTTTCATCACTTTGAGGATAAGTTATCTAGCTTTGCTGAAACATCCTGCTTTGTGAAATAACCCCTGATTCTGCCCAAGACTGACTTAAGAAAGACAATACTCAGGGCCATCAAGTTGTTTCCGACTCCTGGCAACTATATGGATTGTATTTCTCCAGAATGTCCTGTCTACTGTTTTGGTCTTCAGGCTTCTGGATGGCTGGATGATTCCTTTGATTGTACCCGTCCATCTTACAGCTGGTCGTCCTCTTCTTCTTACTTTCAACTCTTCCAAGCATAAAGGTCCTTTACAAAAAATTTATGAACAAAACAATTTATGATCTACCAAAATGTAAAAAGATGATTTTAGATATTTTACACTCTTAAAAAAGAGTTCTTAAAGGGTTCTTTACTAAAAAAAAAGGTTCTATATAGAACCATGAACACTCAAAGAACTCTTTGCATGATTAAAGGGTTATTTGCATCATTAAATGGTTCTTCAGATCGATTGAAGAGGTGTTGTAGGGTTCTATATAGCACCAAAAAGGGTTCTGTTACTGTGACATGCTTGAAATTGTAACAATAGAAGAACCCTTTTTGGTGCTATATAGAGTCCTTTTCAAAAAGGTTCTATATAGAACCATATACAGTACATTCTCCATCAATCTGAAGAACCTTTTCATAATGCAAAGAATCTTTTAATCATTGAAAGGGTTCTTTGCGTGTTCATGGTTCTATATAGAACCATTTTCTTTGCTAAAGAACCCTTAAAGAAGCATCTTTTTTATGAGTGTACTGTAGGATTTGAGTTAAAGGGATGAAGAAAACAGTTTAAGAATCAAGAACATTCCAGTAATATAATGTTTACAGTATGGGGACGTTTTGTGAAGACTTCAGAAAAGAAGTCTTTAATACCATCTGAGTGAAAATGTCCTCACATGTTTTAAAACCATTATGTTTTGCAGACAACAGGAATGGTGTTTGGGAACATCTGGACTGAAGTTGGACCTGCAGTTAGATAACAGTAATGCAGTGAGGAAACAGTTGGACTGCAGTTAAATCTGTAGCTGGACTGCAGAACTGGAGGAAAACACTGGGCTATTCCCAGTCCGATCCTCATGGCCTGCTAGAAGGTTCACACCCTATGTGTTCAGAGCTACAATAGAGCAAAAGTATGGACTGTCTGGAGGGCCCTGAGGACTGGTTCGTGAACCACTGGTCTACACAATGACCATGCTCCTTGAACTGTAGCTTTTGTCATCTCTAAAACTATTCTTCAGGCTTTAAACTCTTCAGACGTCTGGTTCCTATCACCACCACTGTGAACAACTCTGACTCAGCAAGTTTCTCTAGAACGGCACATTTCACACCAAACCACTCTGAATGACTTTGTTTACATCTTAGCCATTTTATTATGCTGAAGTTTAAAAAAATGGTGGAGTTCCCCTTTAACAATCAGGCGTTTTCCCCCTTAGACATTACTAAACACATGCCAGCATCTACAGCAGATCTTCCCTGTGCAGAATTTTCATAAAATTTCAATAAAATTTATACGCTGCTAAAAAATCATAGAAACTATTAAAAGTCTTTATTGGTTCCTGGTGGTGTCCAGTGTTCACAAATGGTATTCTGTGTTTTCCTGATGGGTTGATATCACAGTGGATGTCACAGCTCTAATGGTCATTACTCAGCAGGGTGGACACTCACAAACCACAGGTCCGCAGGTTTTCTCCTCTTCAGAACCGCTCTGAATGACTTCACTCACACCTGAACTTTTTACCCTGCTGAAAAAAAGACCATTAGAGACCATTAGGATTAAAACCTAAGGGTTTTGCTTTCTAATAAGAATTGGCTGCATGGTTTCCAACAGAAAGACCGCATTAGGAAACCATCAAATGCACTTAGAATCAGCTATCGGTCACCTGATAAACCATTAGAGTCCTTTACATTGTGATATCAACCCATTAAAAGGGCCAAAACACAGTACAAAACCACCAGGAACCAACAGAAACACTTAATGGTCTCTGTGGGCTTTTTCAGCAGGGTGATTAACGCTTCATTGGAAACAGTTCTACAGGTCAGCTCTTCGGTGTTTGGCGGATCCAGGCTGAGGTAAGGTGGACTGTGCTGGACTGCACGGTGAGGGATGTTATAACTCTGCGAACCCTCGCACGCAGTCAGTGCGTCGCGCGCGCGCGCGCCCTCGCCCGCGTTCTAACCGTCAACCGTCTCGGTCTTGTTGCCACAGCAACCGCTGAGGAGAAATCTGTGCAGCTTGTGGTGCCGCATTGAGGGGGATGTAGCGCTTCTGCTCGGGCAGATGGGACCTCAAGATTGACCGTGACTCACCAACAGCAGGCGACACGGAACGGCGAGAAAGGGAGAACGCTGTTCTGATTAGCCCCCTCCAGTCTCCGGCTTCGGAGACACCGGCGCCGGACACGCGTTTGTTTTTCACCCCGTGAAGCTGGAACCGGAGGGTGAGTGTTGCTGGATGTCCGTTAGTCCTCGGCTACGTGTTGACTGATTATCAGGATCGGCAGCCGTTAAAAACGCTGGAAGGATCGCGCCGTTAATCCGGGGAGAGACTGACGGTCAGTGAGGCAGATGTAGCTACATTTGATGCCGAGGCAGCTTAACGGTGAGAGTTTGTTCTGAGACACAGACGCGCCCGGTCCGTCGTTTGGAGTCAGTTAACGTTAGTTAGCTAATTGTTGTGAGCGTTTCAGCTGGCAGTCCGAATCGCCATGGGACCGTCAGGAGTTACAGAAGCAACAGGGATGATTTCTCATTCGGTCATTTCCCTCTTGAAGCCTCATGATGCGAGTTGATGGCAGCGGGATCAAATTCTGTTATTCTCCTTTATAACGCCGTATTATGGAAACCCGTTTCTGCCACTGGAGAGATTATATACAGCCGTGTAGTCAGTCATAATAATGAGGACAGTTTCCATAGTATGACTGAGTGTCTCATAATAATGACTGACTATCTCACCATAATGAGAACATTTTCTCGTAATTAAGTCAGAATTATGCGCTAGAAGCTCATTATTATGACATAGCAAGTCATAATTATGAGAAAGTAAGTCATAATTATGAGAAGTCATAATTATGATTTAGTATCAATTAAGAGATTATAAATCATAATTATGAAATAAAATATATTTATTATTATGAAATACTCATCATACTCAGTAATGAGATGCTAAGTCATAATTATGAGAAAGTAAGTCATAATTATGAGATACATAGCCATAATTATAAGACACTAAGTCATAATCATAAAATAGGATCGCATTATTATGAGATACAAAGTCATAATTATGAGATACAAAGTAATAATTATGACTTGGTATCTCATATCATGACTTTCTCATATTTACGACATAGCGTCTCATAATCATGACTTAATGTCTCATAATTATGACTTGCTATGTCATAATAATAAGCTTCTAGCACATAATTCTGCACAATTATGAGACAGGATCTCATTATTTTGAGATACTAAGTAATAATTATGAGATCCAGTGTCATAATAATGAGATACTAAGTCATATGATTTAGTATCTCATAATAATTATGACTTGGTATCTCATATCATGACTTTCTCATATTTACGACATAGCATCTCATAATCATGACTTAATGTCTTATAATTATGACTTGCTATGTCATAATAATAAGCTTCTAGCACATAATTCTGCACAATTATGAGACAGGATCTCATTATTTTGAGATACTAAGTAATAATTATGAGATCCAGTGTCATAATAATGAGATGCTAAGTCATATGATTTAGTATCTCATAATCATGACTTTCTCATAACCATGACATAGCATTTCATAATTATGACTTTTTCATAAATATGACATAGCATCTCATAATTATGAGATTATTACTTTATTGTTATGACTCACTACATGGCTACATATTTTTTCCAGTGGTAGAAATGGGCTTCTGTACTGTATTAGCCTTGAACCCATTGTTTAAGGCTACAGTATTTCGATGTCTTATTTCTTGTCTGTGTTTCTGAGTTAAACGCAGTTTTAACATCAGAGACCTGTTGGATTATGGCAACACATGAAATGAAATTGAGGCTCATGTTTTTCTTCATCACGATCCTAAATATTAATTAATAATACTATTTTTGCAATTGCTTGACATTCTGCTCATCCTGCCTTTCTTGCTGCAGACAGTGGCTAAGTTATGCTGCACAGCCCTGAAAGCTGCTCTCTTATATTTTTCCCTCCAGTGAAAATAAGCCAGGCCTCAGAATAATGTAGGCCTAAACCATCCATATGTGCTGTCTGTCTAATTACAGCAGGCCAGTGTTTTCCCTCTCATCCAAAGTGGGCTCTCTACAGTCTTTGAATCATTTGTTGATGATCAGAATGTGTTTGAAGTGGCACTGAAACTGGGTATGAAAGTGCATCATCATGTAGAGGCTAGTGGTGCCAGTACTGTAATGAACTGTGGGAACAGTCAATGAGAGGCTTCACAGAGTGTTACATAAACTCTTAAATGGAGGGCGAATTCTAATTAATTCAAAGAAAAGAAGCTGCCTCGACATCATCCTATAGACCCGATCCCCATAAGCACCTACAGGCCGTAATAGGGCTTGAGAGACTAATGTGGTAATGACAAAGTGGGAAGACATGGATTAGTTGTGCTAATGCTTAGATGGTGAGGATGAAATGGGCAAGGACAGACATGAAGGTAAAAGACTTGCCTTATAGGCACTGTAAAAACGTTAGCATTACTATTAAAGGGCAATTCCAGAGGTTTTTCCAAATTTCTGCATAATTCAGTCTTGGAGATGTAAAGTCATTCATAGTGGAAATGATTCAAGATTCAAACGTGCACTCTCTCTGTAAGGGGTGGTGATAGGAACCAGGGGATTGCAATGTCTACAACTCTAATACAGCCTCTAGTGAACCTATCTGTGCCTTCTGAGCTCTTATATATAATGTTGATAATAGTAAAATAGTGATAAATATGAAAAAATACAACTGGCTACAATTTTGCCTGTATATCCACCACAAATTGCTTTAAAAAAATATGTTTTAGGCCAAAGCCTTATCTAAAAAAATTTTGTCTCAGGCATCAGGCAGTGTATTCCTAACCCTTTAATGTTATAACTTAATGTGAGTGAGTTTTTAGAGGCATTAAACTCTTAAGACGTCTGGTTCCTATCACCACCACTGTGAACAATTCTGACTCAGCAAATTTCTCTAGAAAGCAGCATTTCACACCAAACCACTCTGAATGACTTTGTTTACATCTCAACCATTTAGTTATGCTGAAGTTTTGAAAAACCGGTGGAGTTCCCCTTTAACAACCAGATGTTTTTCTCCATAGACATTACTAGACACATGCCAGCATTTGAAACAGTTCTGCAGGAACATCTTCCCTGTGCAGAATTTTCATAATTCATAGACACCCACTGGCCCACAAACTGCAGGCCTCAAGGTTTACACTGTTTCATTTACTTTGAAAAGCCCCCCCGAAAAGAGGAGTGGTTTCAAAACTAGGCCACTAATGACCTGTGTTAGTCTGACAGCTCCGTGCCGGCAGTGGAGTGGAAGAAAGCGGATTTCTCGAGCACTTCCACTCCCATGTGAGATAGCCACCAAGCTGTCCCATCAAATCACACACAAAGAGATAACGCCGTCTTCTCAGTGCAGGTGCATTCTTTCGAGAGATAGGAGATAAATTTAGCAATTGGCAAGAGTCCAAAGTTGCTCACAGAAGGAAAACAGAGAGTAGGCCTGAAGACCTGTTAATACATGTGGATAATAAACGTGTTGGACTGGAAATGGTGTCAGCAGCACTTTATGTTTGTTGTTATTCTGAAATGGTAAAATATGCTGTGAAGATTCGCTGGTCTAGTGCTTGTGAAGGAGGCTTGTTTTGATTCAGTATTTGTTGAGACAGCAAATCTTAGATCAGCCCCTGTACGTAGGTTTACATCAATACAATTATTGTACAGTATTTTCTATATGTACATACTGCTGCTGTCGGAACAAAACCACGTATCTCCAAAATAATAACTTTACAGGAGAAGAAAAAAACCTACTTTACATTTAATATAAGTCAATGGAACCAGACGTTTTTTCAAGTCATTTTGGGCCATTTCTGTTTGTCTGTTCACCATGAAGGACAGTAGGCATTTTCAAATTATGTCAAAAACTGAAAAATGACAAATATGGAGATACAAGGTTTTGTTCTGTCAGCATCAATATATATACATGTATAAAATTATATTATAGGGGTTAGGGTAAGGGTCATTCTTCTGAAAAAGCCTCAAACCATCTCTGTAAATATTTGTGTCATAATTATCACTTAGATAAACAATATTGATAAAATTTAGTATGTCAGTTGGACCTTATATAGTATAGCATAAAAGTGCTATGATTATTGTTTCTATTTTAATTTTTTTTACCCTAATTCTCATTACTGCAGTGTGTCTGCATGTCTGTTTCACATCATTTTATGTATCTATTTTCATTTTAAATGTTTTTAAATTGGACAGTAAAACCTGAGTGACTTTTAACTGCTGAATATATTAAATTTAATGATCAAAACAACAATGTGGCACATCAATGGTTGTCAAAATATTGCAGAAATGAGATAAAATGGCAAAATATTAGATTTTGTGAAATACATTTATTTTAATAATTAGCATTAAAATACTTAGTCCGACAACAACATATAGATTGTGAAAAGAAAGGTTGAGAAAACAAAACATTATTTATGCATTTATCTCATTGTGGTAATGAGAATGTGGTCTCTTACTACTGAAAAGGTTAAAACTCAATTTACAAATAATCATTCAGGTTTACTTTTAATTATTTAACCAGGTATCAGTGTTTATATATCGCTGTTGTCGGAAGAAAACCTTGTATCTCCATTTTTGATGTTTTTCAGTTTTTGGCATAATTTGAAATAACCCGTTACCCTTTACATCGTTTGTACATTTCATGATGAATGGACTAAAAGAAATGACCCAAAATGACTTGTAAAAATGTCTGGTTCCATTGACTTACATTAAAAGTAACACAGGTTTTTTCCTTCTTCTGCGAAGTTACCATTTTGGAGATACGAGGTTTTCTTTCAACAGCGATATGCAAAAAATGAATCATGAAATCATTAAGGTTTAGTCATTTTTATTTTTTCCTGTTGGGTCCCAGTGTTTGTCATATATGTCAGAATAAGCCATAATTAAGCCCTTACAATAAACAACAGCAATGAGACATTTTTTGTAAAAGTCATATAAGCATGGTATGGCATTGTTTGATGGCCTGTATTTAAAATAAAGGGGTCACTAAAATGTAAATACAGCATAGTCTGGCGTTGTAATGTAAAAGGTAGAAGGTTAATGTATGTGTTTACGTTAGAGGGGCTCAGTTATATTACTAACATTCTGAAATAGTGTGAAGATCTATAAATTTTAACCATTTGCATAATCTTTAATCTATCA